CCAAACCCTGTCTTTGAGTCTCTCCTCCTCCTCTTCTTTATTGTGTCTCCTCTCATCTCCCCGTGTGACCCGACCAGCCATGAGTTTTTCTTTGATCCTGTTGAGTGATAGAGCTGTGTGGAGAAAACCGCACTCTAAAAAAATTGCTGGGATGATTAGGGTCAAATATGGACAAACCCAAATGTTGGGTTAAAAATGCAATTAAAAAAATGTACAGTTGAAATTGGGTTAAAATTTGAAATTACGCTGTAAAAAAAGATTTTTTGGTGAAGTAAATACTACTGAAAAAAACCTGATGTAATTTACATGAAAAAGTTAGTTCAGGCAAGAATTTAAAAAACTAAGTAAATTCCATATCAGTACTTAATTCGAGTGAGTAGAAATAAAAGTGTAAATATCAACTCAATAAAAATTGCTCAACTTTTCTGATACTGGGGTTCCCAACCTTGAATAATTAATGAGGTTCATTTTTCACTGGTGTCCAGCTGTATTTACACTGTTTTATCTTTGATTTTTGTTGTCAGTATTAGTAACTTGCCATTTTGTGACATTTCGAATACATTTTTTGCTCAAAATGACACATTCAAACACAAAAACGACCCATCAAATGTTACCGCCATTGTGTATTGAGGTCTTTGCATTCACATGATGCTTAACATTTGACATGATGTAATGTAAATTACTTAGATGATCTAAGTAAAGCACATACTATAAATGACTAATAAAATTCAATATTACTGTTTTAGTGAAATGTAATGCAAAGGAAATTTCAACTAAATCGATATTAATCAACCTTTTACTAGCCAAGTTAAAATGACTTATTGTCTGTTTACTGTTAAGTTTACTTAATTCCATATTCCAAGTATATTTAACTTAAAGATTTCTAATTAAAGCTACTGATAAATATGTTTAGGTTTTTACTTGGCAAATCTTTGTAAATTTACTAGCATTTTCTGAGTAAATCCTATTTCCAATTTTTTTTCAGTGTACATTTTTAACCCAACATGTCCTTATTTGACCCAAATTTGGGTTAAAACAACCCAGGATTGTTTAGAGTGTGTCTTGGTCGCTGTTGTGTCTCTCTACAGCTTCAGGTTGACTGATGATAAACTCACAATTACGGCAGGGCAATATAGCTAAAAATGATCTTTTGCCTTTTAATGTATATCATGGTGTTAATGTTTTATAAATGTTTCAGGAACCATCATTCCAGTATAGTGATTCCTAGTCGAGTATTAAAATAGTCAAATATTGTTTTATAATTAATAATAACATCTGTATAAATAGCATTATTTATTTAAGTAAAACAATTTAATACATGAAATATTAATTCAAAGTGAATTTTTGATTAATGTTTTGCAGCTAAATATAAACCTCTAAGTAGTTATTATTATCATGACTGTCTACCAAACATAACGCCATTGAAGTTGAGTGCACTTAATGTATTTAATGTTCATTACATTTGCTGTGCTTTGTGTTGTTCATCTCTGTGGAGAGCGAGAGAAGTGAGAAAGCACTCTGGGTGGTGTTATGAAGCGCTGTGGGCAGAGATGGAGCGAGTGATGGTCAGTGAGGTCATGCTGTTATACTGTTCATATAAATGTCTTTATGGACGCATTTACATTACATGGTTCAAGTGACTCAATTCCGAATTTTTTGTTTCTCTCCAATGTGACACAGATCAGATATGACCCTCGAGCGTGTAAGCAGGAAAAAAGGACAATGATTCTGATATTTTCTGATTGGTTTCATGCCTCATTCAGGGCTTGACTTTTTTTGCTATCCAGACTAGTGGTTTTCCAAAGTTACTAGCCACTCAGCATTTTCACTGGCTTTTTGTGTGCAAAAACAAACAAACAACCAAACAATTTTGCCCAGAAAAGTTATTAAAGACATTGTTAAAATAGTCTGAGTGACTACAGCGGCTCAACCTTAAGTTTATCAAGTGACGAGGATACTTTTTGTGCGCTTCATTCGACTTTATTCAACTATTCATTTCCTTCTCTGTGGGGAGAGTAAAAAGTAGTTGTTTTTATTGTTTTTGCGCAGCAAAAGTATTCTCGTCACTTTATAAACTTAAAAAAAACTTTTGCTGATAATTTACTCACCCCCATGTCATCCAAGATGTCCATGTCATTCTTTCTTCAGTCGAAAAGAAATTAAGGTTTTTGATGAAAACATTCCAGATTTTTCTCCATATAATGGACTTCAATGGGGACCAAACGGTTCAAGGTCCAAATGAGAGTTTCAGTGCAGCTTCAAACGACACCAGACGATGAATAAGGGTCGGATCTAGCGGCCCGTTGAGTCATGACTCGAAAAAAGATTTGTTCATTTTGATAAACGAGTTCGAACAGGAGAGTCACGAACCCTCATCACAGAACAGAGCAAGGCGAGTATTTGTGCTTATAAAACTTAAACTTTTTAATTTATTTTTTAAATGAGCGATCGTTTCGCTAGATCAGACCCTTATTCATCGTCTGATGTCGTTTAAAGCCCTTTGAAGCTGCACTGAAACTCTCATTTGGAACCGTTTGGACCCCATTGAAGTCCATTATATGGAGAAAAATCCTGGAATGTTAATCAAAAACCTTCATTTCTTTTCGACTGAAGAAAGAAAGACTTTGACATCTTGGATGACATGGGGGTGAGTAAATTATCAGCAAAAGTTGTTTTAAAAAATGAACTACTCCTTTAAAGAGAAATCAGACTCTTGTTAACAAACACAAGCATCTGACGGTCACCGTCTGCCCTCGTGGTCACTCAAGCCTTCGATTTGCCCTGGCTGTTTTCTCTTCCATCACTTTGACTCTATTATGTCCTTTTCTTCACTAGTAGTGTGTGCTACATCAACTGTGTGTCAATATCTGTTGCACTCCATGTCAAATTAATTCAGCAGTTAGTGCGCATTTAAGCTGTCGTCAATTTAAACGGACAGGACATCCCTCTATTGTTCATTTCCAGTGAAGCCATCCTATTGTCTGTAGTCTAATCTCATTATTATTACTAAAAAATCCACTGTTACGACTCAAACGGATTTTTGCAGATCATTATAACCCATATGTAGAATTTAGACTACAATAATACAAATGTAATACTGTTTATAATAAGTTTTTATATATTATGCATAAGCAATTGTAAAAAGATTAATTATGCAAACAAATGTTTACCTGTGTGAACACTTGGTTTCTGCTGAACACACACGGTATATTTAATAAGAAGAATAAATAAGTAGCCAATTAAAAATGTAAAATACAGTGTGATATCTACAGTATCTCTGGCTGTGCTTTGTGAAGAATTTCTTTTGTACAAGAAATGTGAAAAAAATTAAATCAATTATAAACATGGTAGAGCTGGTGTAAATCTGTTTTTCACCTGTTAGAAACACGTTTAAGATTCTACAGAGGAAGAAGAAAAAGAGGATAAACCAACCATTATGGAAAATAAGACTGGTTTTAAATATGCATGCAAATTTCATCGGGTCATTTAGATGGAGTCTGTTTTATTTGTGCGTGTCAGCACCGCCCTCAGCCTGGTATCGCTTTTCATATGCAGGCCATGAAAAATCACAAATGATTTGTGTTTGTCAGTCGGTGTGATTCGCTGTAATGCAGATGCACCCCTGAGTGATAATGATGCTGACATTTGCATTCTGTAGGAGATGCATCTCAGTGCACTGCTACAAGAATTATACTCTCTCTCTGTGTGTGTGTGTGTGTGTGTGTGTGTTCGTCTTTCTTTTTTTTAACCTCTCTTGTTCTTAAGATTAAGATAAGATAAGCTTTGTTATGATAAAAAAGTGTTTAGATGACCATAGCATTGAAGAAAAATAAGTGGTTGTATTTTTTATTTATTTATTTCAATTTGTTAAATTTAAAACTGTAAAACAGAAACCATAATGAAAAATAAAAAATATTTTTTTTTGCCATTTAAATAATACTTGATTGAAGGAAAATATTCAACTTGTCATGAAAATTGTCACAATGCAAAAAATCTTTGTCTTAAGCAGATTTGTTTAAAAAAAATCTTATTTGTTTAAGTATTTTTAAATGCATTATTCATTTATTTTCAATACAACTATTCTTTTTTTTTTATCTGAATAAATGTAAAATAAACTGTAAAACAAAAAGCAATATGATGTATAAATATTTTAATAAATAATATTTTCAGTATTTTGGCATTATAATAATGCTTAATTGGATGAAAGTATTATTATTTGTCATGAAAAATGTCATAATGCAAAAAATCTGAATGGCCTTAAACATAAGAAATATTTTCTTATTTATTTATTAGTAAAATATGATTTGGCTTTGATAAAAGCTTTGTCGTGATTGAAACGGTTTAGATGCCCATAGCATTGAAGAAAAATCAGTGGGATTCATTCATTTGAAATAGTTATATTATTTCAAATATAAATATTTTTTGTTAAATATGAATAAATATATTTAAAAAAATTGTAAAACAAAAAAGCTATAATAATGTATAAATATTCTACATTCGTAAATCATGCAATATCTTAAAATTATACTTAATTGGAGAAAAATATTCTTAATTGTCATGAAAATTATCAATGCAAAAAAAAAAAATCTTAAAGCTAGTCATGGCCTCATATTTTCTTATGCATTCAATATTTATAAATCTAGTTCTATACATGTTCTTGACAGGTTTTGTGAGATTTCCCCATGTGGTGTGTGAGAGTGTGATTGCAGCTGATGGTCTGTGATGCTGCTGTTTTCTTTCATTGTTCATCACCAGAGACACACACTACTGAGCAGTGATGCCAGAACACAAGAATGATAGATGCTCTTGTCTGCCACGTTCATACAAGGCTGTTGTTTCATTTAGACATTACTGGAAGTGTTTTCTTAGATGCTTTGGTTTTCTCACTGATGGCCGTTTGCATGATTATTGGTGGATTAGGCTAAACGGATGATGTTTGTGTGATTCTGGTGTGTGTGTGCATCGATCATTTATTGATTGTTCCTCATGTTATTTGTCAGATATGGATATGGAGACCTCCAGTCAGACCTCTATAAGAGCTTCGGCAAACCCAGAAGACTCGCCGGCAACAACACACAGCAAGAGCGGTAAGAAAACACACAGCTTTATCAAAACACAGAAACTCCCCTCAACAAGCTCATATTTTCAGTAAAATATGGTAACAACTGGATTGGATATAACTTTGGTGTTGGCTCAAACTATAGTATAGACTACAGAGTTTAGACTATAGACTATAGAGTATAGACTATAGAGTGTAGACTATAGAGTATAGACTATAGAGTATAAACTATAGACTATAGCATGGACTATAGAGTATGGACTAGAGTATAGACTATATAGAGCATGGACTATAGAGCATGGACTATGGACTATAGACAATGGACTATGGACTATAGAGTATAGACTATAGAGCATGGACTATAGAGCATAGACTATGGACTATAGAGTATGGGCTATAGAGTATGGACTATGGACTATAGAGTATGGACTATGGAGTATAGACTATATAGAGCATGGACTATAGAGCATAGACTATAGAGCATAGACTATAGAGCATAGAGTATAGAGCATAGACTATGGACTATAGAGTATGGACTATAGAGTATGGACTATAGAGTATAGACTATAGAGCATAGACTATAGAGCATGGACTATAGAGCATGGACTATAGAGCATGGACTATAGAGCATGGACTATAGAGCATAGACTATAGAGCATAGACTATAGACTATAGAGTATGGACTATAGAGTATGGACTATGCACTATAGAGTATGGACTATAGAGTATGGACTATGGAGTATAGACTATATAGAGCATGGACTATAGAGCATAGACCATAGAGCATAGACTATAGACAATGGACTATGGACTATAGAGTATAGACTATAGAGCATAGACTATAGAGCATGGACTATAGAGCATAGACTATAGAGCATAGACTATAGTGCATAGACTATAGAGCATAGACTATAGAGCATAGAGTATAGAGCATAGACTATGGACTATAGAGTATGGACTATAGAGCATGGACTATGGAGTATAGACTATATAGAGCATGGACTATAGAGCATAAACCATAGAGCATAGACTATAGACAATGGACTATGGACTATAGAGTATAGACTATAGAGCATAGACTATAGAGCATGGACTATAGAGCATAGACTATAGTGCATAGACTATAGAGCATAGAGTATAGAGCATAGACTATGGACTATAGAGTATGGACTATAGAGTATAGACTATAGAGCATGGACTATAGAGCATGGACTATAGAGCATAGACTATAGAGCATGGACTATAGAGCATGGACTATAGAGCATAGAATATAGAGCATGGACTATAGAGCATAGACTATAGAGCATGGACTATAGAGCATAGACTATAGAGCATAGACTATAGAGCATAGCCTATAAACTATAGAGTATAGACTATACAGTATAGACAATATGTGTATATTAGAGTTAATAATGATCAATTTCACTCAATTGCAAAGATTTTACTTATTTGCAAAGAAAGATAAATTAATCCTGATCTGCTTGACAAAATCACTCTCTTCAGATTTGGTCAGTCTTGGAAAAAATGTGTGAGAAAATTAAAAAATCTCCATTGACAAAAGTAGCCAATACAGAACGTGCATATTTGCTCAACATTTGCATACTGAATAATGATTGGTCATAATAAATATATATAATACACATTAGTCAATAAAACATTATATAAATTGACAGAAAAATCTCATGAGCCCAACAAAATAACGAATGCTACACTTGAGCTGATTATATTTATAACCTTTAAAATTGTGTACTATATTGAATCTGAGGATATGAAAAAAATACAGGACCAGTAAGACAATTATGACAAAATGTTTATTTGGCTGAATTATTCCTGCAATTTTTGTGAAAGATGATTGTGGTGAAGCAAAAACATTACACATTGGGGTTAACCCTACACTTAAAATAAAAAATAAAAATAATGTTTACTTGCCTCTTTGCGGGTCAGTTTTGATTATTCCAGTGCATTAGTATTTAAAGGCTGTTTGCAGATGTCTTTGCCTCTTGCAGTGGAGATGAGGGGGGAGGGAACCAGCCTTTCAGACGTTTATATTCACCGTCTCTTCCTGTATCGACAGGCCGGGCCTCAAAAGAGCTGACGTTAAATATGCAGCTCATTATAATGAGATTCAAAGCAAAGATGTGTTTTTTTTTCTCGCATGTAAGCGGCCATCACAGCAGCTCGGGGGACGAGGCCCTTTTTTGTGTCCCTTAAAGGGAATTTTTCCTGTGTCCAGCTTTTGTGGTCATTCTCTATTCCCTGCGAATCCCTCAGGAGTTTATCTGTAAACGACTTCAGGAAAAATGAAAGCATTCAGCCCGCCTTCAGCCCACCTAAGCAACGAAGAAAAATGGGAATTCATTGGTTTAGTAAATGTATGAAGGGCTATTAATTTGTGTATGCTATTTATAGAAGCAATGTTCATTACTGAAAGACAGTGTCATGAAATATCTATTCTCACGCAGGGCTCCAGACTAACTTTTTTCTCTAGGAGCGCTGTCGCCCCTGACTGAAGATTTTAGGAGCGCAAGCTGAAACTTTTAGGCAGTGTTGTAGTCGAGACCACCTCACTCGAGTCCGAGTTGACACCGAGTCCATAGAGAGTCGAGTCCGAGACCAGAGACGGTCGAGTCCGAGTCGAGACCGAGACCAGTGAGGGTTGATTACCTAATTTACTTTTATTTATTTAGAGAAATCCTTTTTTTTTTTTTTTACTGAATTTACTTAGAGTTTAAAAAATATGATCAGTTTAGGGTAAAAAGGCCACATAGTAGGTGGTGTTAAAAGTAATTTTATTAAAATTTGTCATGCGCAGTTGCGCACTAGAAAATCACCAATCACTGGGCGTTTCAATCAATTTAAAGAAATATTTTATTATTGTTATCATGAAAAATTATTATCATGAAAAATATTTTTAATTGAACTCGAGTGGACTCGGGAATAATTCTGAGTCCTAAAAAAAAAAAATGTTCGAGTACGAGTCAATTCCGAGTCCAAATGGACACGAGTCCATGACAAGACCAAGACCATTAAAATATGGTCTCGAGACCGAGTCCGAGACGAGTCCGAGTCTCGAGTACTACAACACTGCTTTTAGGGGCACACCTTAAAATAACAAATAGACTTAACGTACAGATATTACAATGCAGTTTTATTTTAAGTTCGCAGGGCTGCAGATTACAGGTCTTCACGGGTCCAAAAATTCATGCCCGAACCGGAAGACACCCGTAATGTGTTGCACGTCTATTATTTCAAAAGTTAAATTCAACAAATCAGATTGTGACTTCAAAACTCCTAAAGTGTTTCCAGAAAATTGTGCCATATGCATCAGACGAGATATCTGACTCGCTTTTAGTACTTTTATTAAAACAATAAAAACATGTTTCTCCGTTATATTTTTTTAAATAACATTATGTCATGTAAATCTACACAAATGACTGTGAATAGTCTGACGGGTTTTATGTATCCGACTGTTACACATGCATGAGATATTTTATGATTTCTCTCCTCAGGTCATTTGTTCCGAATGGTTGGCAATCAGGGCTTGGGAATTTCTTCAGTTTCCGGTGCCTTTCCCATGATCAATCACCCAGCCTTCAGTCTGCACTCCTCTTCTCCTGTCCGATCTGAATTCGGAGGTCTGGGAACTCTGGGAATGTCGGCCGCTTTGGCTGCCCACTCTCAGCTCGGCGCTTTGCCAGGTATGTTGTCCAAAAGATGCCATTAGATTTAGGTGAAATGATGCTAGTATACCATACCATACCATACCATCTTCTTCCGCTCATCCGGGGCCGGGTCGCGGGGGCAGCAGTCTAAGCAGAGATGCCCAGACTTCCCTCTCCCTAGACACTTCCTCCAACTCTTCTGGGGGGATACCGAGGCGTTCCCAGGCCAGCCGGGAGACATAGTCTCTCCAGCGTGTCCTAGGTCTTCCCCGGGGCCTCCGCCCAGTGGGACGTGCCCGGAACACCTCCCCAGGAAGGCGTCCAGGAGGCATTCGGAACAGATGCCCGAACCACCTCAGCTGACCCCTCTCGATGTGGAGGAGCAGCGGCTCTACTCTGAGCTCCTCCCGAGTGACCGAGCTTCTCACCCTATCTCTAAGGGATCGCCCAGCCACCCTGCGGAGAAAGCTCATTTCAGCCGCCTGTATCCGGGATCTTGTCCTTTCGGTCATGACCCAAAGCTCATGACCATAGGTGAGAGTAGGAACGTAGATTGACCGGTAAATCGAGAGCTTTGCCTTACGGCTCAGCTCCTTCTTCACCACAACAGATCGGTACATCGACCGCATTACTGCAGAAGCTGCACCGATCCGTCTGTCAATCTCCCGTTCCATCCTTCCCTCACTCGTGAACAAAACCCCAAGATACTTAAACTCCTCCACTTGAGGAAGGATCTCTCCACCAACCTGAAGTGGGCAAGCCACCCTTTTCCGGCTGAGGACCATGGCCTCGGATTTGGAGAAGCACCTCCATGCTAGTATATGATGCTAATCGAATCTCAATTCAAACACAAATGGGATTTTTCTTCCTAAAAGATGATTCACTGATTCACCTGCTGATCTACTGGGATTTTCACTCATGACCATCTCTAGGGTTTACAGAGAATGGTCATAAAGAGATCAAAAGTTCTGCTGGTAAAAATGCCTTGTGTAGGCCGGAGGTCAGATGAGAATGACCAGACTGGTTAAAGCTGAATAGTAACTCAAATAACCACTCGTTACAACCAGAAGAGCATCTCTGAACAAACAACACATCAAACCTTGAAGCAGACCGGCTCCAGCAGCAGAAAACACACACCGGTGACGCTCCTGTCCGCTAACAACAACAAACTGAGGCTACAATTCACCAAAACTGGACAAAAGAAGATTGGAAAAACGTTGTGTTGACTTCTGCTGCGACATTCAGATGGTCGGGTCAGAATTTGGTGTAAACGACATGAAAGCATGGATCCATCCTGCCTTGTATCAACAGTTAAGGCTGCTGCTAGTGTAGGGGTGTGTTATATATTTTCTTAGCACACTTTGGGCCCTTTGTACCTATTGAGCTTCGTTTAAACACCACAGCCTGCCTGAGTATAGTTGCTGACCTCTTTATGACCGCAGTGGACTGACGGCTACTTCCAGTTGGAAAACACCATGTCACAAAGCTCAAATCATCTCAAACTAGTTTCTTGACCATGACAGTGAGCTCACTAAACTCAAACAGCCTTCACGGTCACCAGATCTCAATCCAATAGAGCAGCTTTGGGACGTGGAGGAACTGGAGATTCGCAACTGTGATGTGATCATGTCCGTATGGACCAAAATCTCTGAGGGATGTTTCCAGCACCTTGTTGAATCTGTGCCGAAGAATTAAGCCAGTTCTGAAGGCAAAAGGGGGTCTACCTAATAAAGTGGCCACGAGCAACACAACAAATATTACCATGGACTATAAATATTTCTTAAGTAATTTAAGAACAGGTTTTACGCTAAAACAGGTTTTATCGTAGTTTTTGTCCAACTCCATTGACTTGACTTGGGCAAAATCTACAATAAAACCTGTTGGAAAGCATCTTTTGTAGAGATTTTTGTGTAAGCATATCAGTGAACACCCCAGACCATTTGATGAGTTTCACGTCTTTGTAAACTAAAGTTTAATACGTTTTAGGAAGGATTGTTCCAGTGCACCTACTGTATGCAACCATTGTGGAGGTGGGGGGGTGCAACCACAGAAACCAAAATTTCTCGGGACAACAGAATTTGTCCAAATTTCAATCTTAACCGTTATATTTCATCAGAAATTGTCTTAAAACAGGGCTTTAAGTGTAAAATACCGAACTAACCTTTTAAAGGAGTAGTTCACTTTTAAAAGAACTTTAGCTGATAATTTACTCACCCCCGTGTCATGCAAGATGTCCATGACATTCTTTCTTCAGTCGAAAAGAAATGAAGTTTTTGATGACAACACTCCAGGATTTTTCTCCATATAATGGACTTTAATGGGGTCCAAACGGTTCAAGGTCCAAAAGACACTTTCATTGCAAACTGCAAACTGTTTAAAGGACTTTAAACGATTCCAGACGATGAATAAGGGTCTTATCAAGCGAAACGAAAAATAAATAACAAAGTTTAAGTTTTAAAAGCTCAAATGCTTGCCTCAAATGCTTGTTCGTGACTCTCCTGTTCGAACTCGTTCATCAAAATGAACAAATCTTTTTTCGTGTCATTTGGTTCATTCAACGAACGAAATGAACGAATTGACTCGGAAAAAGATTCGTTCATTTTCACGAATCCACACTGAGGCCATGACATTTATGAGACCTTTAAGGAGAGACGGTCTCACACATCCTTTGAAATGTTAAATTGTATGTGCTCCTCTGTGTATCCTCAGATTGGTGGCGTTCTGTAGACGCTCAGGGTCAAGGGGCAGCGGCCTTTTTTCCTCATCTTCTGGGTCTGCCGGCATTATTCGGCACATCGTCGCTGAACCACGAGCAAAGCCTCCTTCAGTCTCATGCTCCCCGACGCACTCCCGCCAAAGGTGCGTTAATTACCCCTCATATTATTTTATTCCTAAAGCTAGTGAGCTGCTTACCTTGAGGGCATCGTTGTGATCCAATCATAAAGGCCGATCCATTATATGCACATAACTTCCTTTTTTTAGTCCGGTTCTCAAGGTAGCACCTGCTTGCTACTCACACTTTTTACGCAGCACACACTTATCCTAAAAGCTGTCGTCATCACTTTCCTCCTGACTGCTCTTCTCACTTTCTTCTTTTCTCTCGAACATGGTAGATGATGATGTTTTATTTAATTTTACTGAGACAACAACAGGAATATTAGGCTTCTGCCACCGAATGCATGGGCCGAAGTATACTGACAGACAACTGTTCACTTGTGACATAACCGAGAGAATACTTGCCCTTATTTTGTGTGTTTGTGTCCGTTCAAGCGCAAGTAAACCCGAAAGAGGAATCAATTTGGTGTTTGAGTGCCGTCTGAAACGCGCCTCTCTCTCTCATCTGCATGTGTGTGCTTCGGGACGGGTGTGTGAGGCTGTGCGCACACATAACAGCGTTTAAATCACCTCTTCCACGTTTAAAATCGTTTGAATGTGTAAATTGGCAAGACAAAAAACCGTCCAAACGATAAACTTTCCCTCTTAATCTTAGCAGTTAATCCTCTAATCACATGTGCCGAACCGTGCGGATGACGGATCAACTACGATCCATTGCACCCCTAATAATAATGAACACACTTGATGATGATGATAATAATAATAATAATGAACACATCATCATGATTGCCATCTTATTTGAGTCCTCAAAAATGCAAAAAAATGTTGGTACGCAAAAGCGCTTCCCTCCACATTTTCTGCTGCGTAATCGTTTACTTTTACCACACCAGTTATGTGCATCCCTGAATATAAATATCTTGCCCTTTTAAGATATATTTATGCAAATACGAAGGAAGAATTGCTTTTATCCTTCTGAAATTCATAGTAGCAAAAATTCATAATATCCTTTTGGAATTATCACTTCTATATTTACATGAATTTGCTGTTTATTTTAATCCTAATAAAATCTATGAAGTCTGCTGGCATGCACATGTTCAGATGTGAGATGCCTTATGCTTGTCTTGTCATATTGTTGCTGAATTGTTTTTATTCACTTCAGTCGTCTTCTTTTTTTTTAGCTTTCTATTCAGTTGTCTGCTAGACATAAATTCATTTCTGAATTGTTTGCTTTTACAGCACCTTTTAAGCATTTTTTTCTTTTTAATAAGTGGGTATATTATTCATATACTGTATTTCATCATCATTCTGCAACATTTTGTAGTTGTAATTAAATTATTGTTTATTAAACTGTTGTAGTAACTTAATATCACATTTTAATCATGCTGATTTTTGGAGGAGAAAAACTGAAATGGCACTCTTCATGTGATTAACTACATAAAATGATATTAATATATACATTTTCTAACCCCCATATTTTGAATTTTGTGACCATTCACATGCATTCATAAATACATTTTAGGGTCTTGATGTTTGTCAATAATATGAAATATTTAATCCAGAAAGGACAAAACAAATGATAATGAATAGACCCAAAAGGTTCCATATAGAACCTTTTTCCTGGTTACAAAGAATCCTTAAAAAGGGTTCTGTATAGAACCTTTTAGGGGTTCCAAATACGTATAGAACCTTTTTAATCTATCTATCTATCTATCTATCTATCTATCTATCTATCTATCTATCTATCTATCTATCTATCTATCTATCTATCTATCTATCTATCTATCTATCTATCTATCTATCTATCTATCTATCTATCTATCTATCTATCTATCCTCACTGATCCTCACATTCACTGTTTTTAGATGACATGAGCTCGGTACTTGGTATATAAACGAAGCATAATCTATTTTACTGTACAGTCATACTGTAGCTGAAGATTTGTTTGTTTTCTAAAGCAGGGCTGAATGGCTCTGTAAATGGAAGAGCAAACTCGAGATCAGCCTCCTCCACACCCTCTCCAGCCCTCAAACCTCCAGATCAGACCAAGAACCTGAAAACCAGCCCGAAACCAGCACTGAACCAGCTCAAAGGGAAAACTAGACTCAAAACAAACGACCATGTAAGGATTACATGACGTTTGATCATCATTTACTGTCGTTCTAAACCCGTATGTTGTTGTATTTTCTAGTGGATCTCAAATGTTTCATTCAGTTAATTAGTTGACTTGTGTGTTAGTAGATTTAAACTGTTTAATATCGTCCTGATAGATGCAGCATTCATATCAGTGTGCTGTGAAACCACTCACTGCTGTTGACACTTTCTGTCAAATAATATCATCCAACGTTTTTTGGGACTATTTTTAGATTGTCATGTCAACTGGAAGGTTGACAGAAAGGAATTGTTTGTGTTTGCCTGCTCCTGTCGACTGACATTGCTCTTCCTGACAGAAGGTTCACAGCAAAGTGCCAGATGACTCCATCAACAGTGACAGCCAATCAGCATCCAGCTCTGACAGCTCCAGCGATGCTCTTAGCAGCTCTGACTCAGATGACTTGGAGGATGATGATGATGATGACGATGATCAGAGTGATGATAGTGTGGACTCGGAAAAGTGCGGAAAAGATCCGAAAGGTATCCGAAAGGTATGTGTGTCAGTGAAAAACTGTGTTCGTTTTTTATCCCAAGTTTAAACTATTAAAAAAATTAATTGAAATAGATGTTAGTGAAATAAATGAATTAAACTGAAATAAAAAAGTGTAACACTTTACAATAAAATTCTATTTTTTTAACATTAGTTAACAATACGTCTAAAACATTTCTTAATCTTAGTTGTTCATTTCAACATTATACTAATACATTACATTATTAAAGTGAAAAGTTGCTTTTATTATTTAATACATCTGAGAAAACATGAACAGCAGTATTTTTATTAACCAAACATGAACAAAGATAAATACTTTAACTGCATTCTGTTTTGCTCATTGTTAGTTAATGTTAACTAATGCGACCTTATTGTTAAGTGTTACCAATAAATTACAGATAAATAGAATTTATTCATCAATTTCAAAAACTGTGTTTAGGTTCTCATGTTTTAAACCATTTATACTGTTTAAGCCTTTTATATCATAAAAGTATGGTAGTAGTATGCTATTCTGAAGGTAGCCTTTGATTTAGTAGTCATTAAAGGAGAACTCCGGTGCAAAATGAACCTTTGGTCTAATTACACATTGTTACCTAGTCAACCGTTACCTGAGATTTGTTTTCATGATTGCCGAATGTAAATAGTTTTATATATAAAAACAGTTTAGCCTATAACGCTAGTATATGGGGCATAGAGTAATGACTAATAAAAATCGCTTGTTATTACCACTAACAAGGCTCAAAATAGCCCCACAGTAACACGACAGCATAATAAGGGTCCATACATTCAAATCGAAGCATTGAGAACGTTGTCAGTGTCCAAACAGTTTAATAAGAAGATATTTTATACACACAGTCAACTTCGCGAGTACAGGAAGAAGCCATCTTTGAAAAATATTCTCTACCAGTCGATCTTCGAACGCCGATCCAAGTGCGCTGAACTGTGCAGAATCTCATATGGTCCGTTGTTTCCGGAAGAAACACAAACACGAACCATTTTCTTCTCTTCAATATGTACATGTAGCCTACTGTTCGCGCTCACCTTATCACCTTATTCACATCTCACCAGCGCACTTGGATCGGCGTTCGTAGATCGACTGGTAGAGACTATTTTTTAAAGATGGCTTCTTCCTATATTCGCGAAGTTGACTGTCCCTGCGTCCCAATTCGCATACTATCCGTCCTAAATAGTATTTGAAAATAGAATTTGTACGTCCCAAATCGTAGTATGTTGAAATGAGTGTTTCAAAGATACCCGGATGGTCTACTTTTTCCGGTCAGAATCCGAAGTGTAAATCGATGCACACTCTAACGGCTGATATTGCCCACACACCATAGACCTTTCTCACAACTTCCGTATTTGTGACCGGAAATACGCAATTGTCGTGGTAATCTTCTTCCGCTCCATTCATAACAGATAGCGCCGAAGGCAACTAGTGAGAGTTGTTGCGTACCGATCTTTTTGGTTATTCCCAAAAGCAGCCATACCTGTCGTTTTCCCGTCGATGAAGTTCGAAGGAACTGGATTCAGGCAATCTGGCGGGATGTTATTGATCCTGTGATCTTCTGTACTTCTCATGTCACCATTCACTAATAAGCCGTCATTGTTTGTTTATTTTTTATGTTTTGTGTATTTTTGAAGTAACGTTAGTTCGTGTTCAACTTTATTAAGATATTTGTATCCAGTGGAATAAGCACATAAAAATATACACCACAATATAAAACAAGATAAATAAGAACACACAACAGTGGGCTACATATACATTTAAAATATTAATATATACCATTCTGAGTATTTAACAATCTGAGTGTACAAGGGATAAATTAATATTTGTATAATTTTTCTTCATCTTTGATCGTTCTATAGCAACAGCAGTGCAAAAAATTCAGGATAACTGTTGAATAAAACTGACAGACTTCTTTCTGGTATTCACATCAAAATGCAGTTTATTGTAAATAATACTCCCTAAATATGAATAACTTTCCACACACTCCACCTTCTTACCTTTAATGAACGTATATTGGGAAGAATGAGCTTCAGTTCTGAAATCAATAGTCATATCTTTGGTCTTAGATACATCAGCTGCAGACAAGCATCACCACAGCATTTTACAAAGTCATCAACAACTGGACCATGACAAGTTTACATTTTTTCGAAGTTTTGAAGACTCTCTGATCAATTTTCTCCTCACAGAGTAGGTTTTTCTAATGTGTCGACAGTGATGGGAACTCCGTTTCCACAACGATTACGTATTTCCGGTTTTTGTGAAAAAGGTCTATTGCGCGTTGGACGAGGATTCGGTTAGAACTACAAACACGAGTAAAAAGTGTTAAAAAAAACTACAGACACGTAGTCGATACGGAGGACGCGCGAGTCCCCGCGGTTGTGTAGAGAGGTTTAGATAAAGAGCTCTGAGTGATTAATTATCAGTATCTAACCTGACGAAAATGAATTTATTCAATGTTGTCCGCATTATATTGCATTTGCAGCAGCATTGTGAACTTTTGTAAAGACACGTTTAGCTATTACGTTTTAAATGCATCATTATATTCAAATTGCAAACACGAGGAGAGCATGAAAGACCCACAACTGGCAGATGGATGTGCTCTCCGAAACGGTAGGAAATAAAATGAGATACAGAATGGAGGATTTTAACTGTGACAAGATGATTGACAGGGCAGTTTACGGTGACAGGATGCACGCAGCACGCGACAGAGCCGTCCGTTAAAGATGACGTGATAGTACGTCCCAAACAGGGCCTGAAATTAACTTTTTCGGCCACCGGTCACTGTGGCAGGTGGATTTAAAAATTCACCTGCCACAGAGACTTTTTACCTGCCACTTTTTTTTGCCTCATATTTTGCCTCAGCCAAAAATGGCTGGTAAAAAGAACAATATTCTGAAATTCCTGTTTTTTTTTCACCTTTATATAAAGGTGAAAAAAAACGGGAATTTCACAATATTGTTCTTTCACTTGTAAGAATACACATTTAAGTGCGGTCAAGTAATAATAATAACTCTAAGAACATACATTTTTTAAAATCTTTTTATTAATTGATTTTGACACTCACACAACATATACAGTATATAGTATAGGCTATATAGTATATAGGCTACTCAACAGATAGACCTAACGCAGCTCGTATGTAAACAAATCACACGCGGCTGGGTTGATGGCTGATTTAGTCACGTAGACAGATCCTGACAGCTTTCAGTTACAGCGGTTAGGAACTATGAACTAAATTAATATTGTTATTACTGGTAAAGTTACCGGGTACCGGATATTTTCTCACTGGTTCCCAACTCCCAACATGCACAGTTGCACACGCACACACATCTGTGCAACTGTCATTGTACTGTATGCTACGTCAGCGTTACATTATCTCATCCCATCTCACCAACAGTTTAATACTCGTACATCCAAACGTAGTCGGAAAAGGCCCTCGTCTTCTTCTGATCGCATGAACGTTCCTAAACAACAGTCGCTGTCATAAATCAGCCGCTCACGAACCTTGCCATTGCCGCCAATTGTCCACTTTGTATTAAAATGTCTTCTTTTACTTTTCTTTTTCTCATCCTCATCTTTTTGTTGGTTGTTTGTTTCAGCTGGCCTCTTTACCCCAGTAATGTGCCGCCACATTTTAGCTAAAGTCAAACGCAATGGCGGACTTAGTTGAAATGTAAAAATCCTAATGAATCACTCAATTCTCATTGGCTACCTGCCAATGTGGCAGGTAGATTGACAGTGTTACCCGCCAATAGAAAAATTCACCCGCATTTGGCAGGTGGTCGGGTGTTAATTTCAGGCCCTGGTCCCAAAGCTTCCCTACTCTTTTGCTACACACTCAAAAGTATGTACTTTTTCCTCACAAAAAGAGTACATACTTTTAGGGCGTAGTATAAGTAAGCGAATTGGGACGCAGCATGTGTGTATAAAATATCTGCTTATTAAACTGTATGGACACTGAAAAAGTTCTCAATGCTTCGGTTTGAATGTATGGACCCTTATTATGCTGTCGTGTTACTGTGGGGCTATTTTGAGCCTTGTTAGTGGTAATAACAAGCGATTTTTATTAGTCATTACTCTATGCCCAATATACTAGCGTTATAGGCTAAACTGTTTTTTATAGATAAAACTATTTACATTCGGCAATCATGAAAACAAATCTCAGATAACGGTTGACTAGGTAACAATGTGTAATTAGACCAAAGGTTCATTTTGTGCCGGAGTTCTCCTTTAATAAGAAATATTGTTATAAAAATCTTATTGCAAAATATGAATAACTTGTTTAAATTATTTCACTCTCGTCCCAGCCGCCATCACACATCCAGGCCTTCAGGCCCACGGAGGAGCCCAGCAAACAAACCAGTGTCATCCAGACCGCAGGGCTAGCAGCGAACGCAAAACCTCTTGCGTTAGTCACACAGCGGCACAGAGACCGGGACACACCGTCCCATAAAGACCTGCCTCTCTCCTTCACGAGAACCGTCTCGCACTCATCCTCTCCAAAACCACCTTCCCCCACCCCATCGCCGAAGCCTCCGTCTCATTCTTTCTCTCCCACACCGAAATCCACTCCTCTGCAAGCAGAGCGTCTGAAGACGTGCAAGAATTACCTCGACCAGACCCTGCTGACCGTTAACAGCAGCAGCAAACTCAAACAGGTACAATTTCTTACATTTCTTTTATCAATTGAAAGAATTGTGTTACAGTATTTTTAATATTACTGTTACATTATTTTGATCAAATAAATGCAGAGAATTACCAATCATTCTTTATCTGTAGTGTATATCATATATGCATAATTCAATTCCCAGCAGAAAACAATCTTCTATAATATAATAAAAACAATATATTCTAAATATTGTTTTGAATATATTAGTTGCATACATGTTCCTATACTTGTGCAAATCAAGGCTGTGAGTGAATGACAGATGAAGTAATTGCATCTCACTTCCGCTCTCTGTCCCATCAGCCATCACTACCTCAGAAGTCCATCAAACAGACCTTTCCTCCACCGTTGAGAGATGCAGAGGAATCGTTCCTCCCGTCTCTTCCTAATGGGAAGCCCGGTCATCCCGGCGTGGTGCAGGACGCTCCTCTGGCGCTGATTACCAAACCTCGCTGCCAGAGCGCACGTGTCCCTGATAAAGCCACCAGCCCCACACACAACACCCCCATCAACCTCACCACCAGAGAGACGGGTCCGGCCCATACCTCACCCGGACTCAGTCTGACAGCAGGCCGAGGGAAGGGCTGTAAAATAAGAGAGAGATCCTCATTGGTGGAGAACTTCAGGGGGGCGGAGTCTAACCTCCCCGACAGTAAAGACTCCGATGACTCCTTAATGGAGGATGAGGACGAAAATGACGTTTCGAACGACAGTCTCTCAGGTCAGCGTGATGTTTAATCAATATTCATGGAGGTTTTGCTAATCTTTTTAATGAATTAACCCTTTCTTAATGGACCTGAGCTGACATGAACGGTTGTAGTTTTATTAACTAATGTTAACAAAGATGAATATTAGAAAACAATATAGCACTCAAAAAAATAACTCTTTGAATGCACATAAAAAATCATTTCCACAAGATTATTTTGCTTTATTTCAGCATTATGTAATTCTGTTTTTTCCAATTTAATGTACTTATGTTGGGTCAACTTAATGTATTAAGGTTGATCCAACTTATTTACAATGGTTGGGCACAGCTTAATTTAATATTGTCAGTGAATTTAAAAATCTCCCTGATGTGATTCAGGTATTCAAATTCATAATATTCATTCGTCCAATACAATAACATTTATTTTATAGTGTCACACTAGTACATTTCTAGATTATACCCAAGTAATAGTTACCAATAGCACCTTAGCATTTTAAATGATAAGATTTGCATACTTCATCTGAATCAGTTTTTAGCTTAACCAATGCTCCACTCTTCTCCACAATGGTAACCCACATTAATTTAAATGGTACTAATAATTGCAATGTAATTGAACATTAAACACAATTACACACTATAAAGTTCTAATTGTCTCAAAAACACATAAAATAACACTTAATTTAAGCATTTATTCTCACTTAATTCAGCCATATGCAAAGCATGTTGGAAACCAACAAGCACAGCCCAGTTTCAGTTAATGCAACACAAATCATTCATGTAATCCAGCACAAACGGATTAAGTAAACTTAAATTTTACGTATTTAAGCAGATTGAACATAATCAAGATAAGTTTAAGCAATTTGAACAAGCAGCAATTTTGAGTGGTTAAAGCATTAACCCATAGGACGTTACTGTAAAGTATTACCATCTTTTGAAAGAAAAGTTTATTGAAATTGAAATATATAAATATAAATATAAGTGAAATAAATATATGAAATATATTAATATAAATATAAGTGAAATATATATATATATATATATATATATACTATATACGTATATATATATATATATATATATATATATATATATATGTATAAATGTGTATATATTTATATATAATATGTATACAAAAGATTTTTTAAACTGTTTAGCAACTATTGTGTTAAATTTTATAAACAGTATTGCAAGTATTTTTTTTTTCAAATATATTTTTAAACATTTTGGACCGAAGTAGCGTGCTAGTTCGATTCACAGTGAAATCGCATGCCATCAACAGTTAATTTCTTCCCATAAAACTATCTGCCAAATGCATAAACGTAAACCACCTCATATGGTGGTTGAGAAACTGACATAAGAAAATACATAAAATATGTTCTGATCCACATAAGCAAAATTGATATTTTGTATGAAAATTCCACAACACATCATGGTGTCAACTTTGCGAGCATTTCCTGCTAAAGTGTATTTTTCCATACATTCATCCACGAGTAAACAGACTCTTATATTATTATTATTTTGCAGATTCTGACAGCAATTTAGACAGTGATTCTGATGATGAGGATGGTAAGGATGAAGATATGGACACAGATTCAGAAATGGACAGAACACCGCTTAAACTCAACAAATCCTCAGCTTCTGCAGCGGACTCCTCCCACAACACTGGCCCCGCCCCTCTCAATCTACAAGTTCATAAAACACCTGTCCCAGCCACACCTACAATTGTGACCAACTCTGGGAATTCAGCCAATCACAGCCCTCTTTTCTCATCTTACTCTGTGGCCGCACCCCCAGGTATTTAAACAATTGTTCTTATGGATATGAATGACTTGCTATTAGAAATATTTATTTTTCAACAACAACATTGTTAAAGATCATTGACCTGATCTTATTGTGTACATCGTTTCACTTTGACTTTAAACCTGTAAGTACATGTACAAGTACAAGTTTGAAATTATTATGATTTATTTATTTATTTATTTTTTATTCTCTTCTGGTCACCAAGGCTGCATTTATTTGATGAAAAATGCATTAAAAATTGCAATGTTTCAATTTAAATTAAACTTTTTTTCTGTTTGAATAAATTACTTTTTCAAATATATTCAAGTAGAAAATTGAAAATATTTCACAATATAACTATTTTTACTGCATTTTCCATCCTATAAATGCATCCTTGATGCATATAAGAAACTTATTTCTTAAACATGAGTGATTCTAAACTTTTTGCATGTTTCTTGTGATTTTTATTGATTTGCTTGTCTACCATGTCCCTAGGGAAAAGGAGAAGAGTCACAGATGAATGTGCACTACGGAAACCTCTAGAATACGGGTGGGTCGTAAGTGTAAAGCCGTATCATGTTACACTGATGATGCATTTCTTTTGATTAGTGCACCTGTTAGTCATTGTGCACGAAACATCACGCCAATAAATCATCAAGTGATTTCTGCATGACTTTGCTTTGAGTCTATAGCATGAATTGAAAACTCTTTCTGTTTGCAGATGGCAGAGAGAGACGCGCATCACAAACATGTCTGGGCGTTTACGGGGGGAGGTGGCGTACTTCGCTCCGTGTGGCAGGAAGCTCAGACAGTACCCTGATGTCATCAAGGCAAGAGAACTTGTGTTGGACCGGCGTGGGCTTCTTATTCTTACGCCGTTATTAATCTCATGCTCTCGCCCCTCACAGTATCTGACCAGAAACGGAATAAGCGACATTACGCGTGATCACTTCAGCTTCAGTGCTAAAATAAAGGTTGGCAACTTCTATGAAGCCAGAGATGGACCACAGGTAAGTCGCTCCACTGTTCATGATGGTTTTACACGACTGTGCAATCAAACAAGTCAAACAAATGTAATTTGTTTTTCTTTTTTGGGGAAGCAGGGTAATATAGTAGTGTTAATGTGTGCAGTTTTTTTAATATTAGATAAAAAAAAAATGTAGTAAATAATAAATAAGCCATCTAAGCAGTGATGGTAATAAAATTAATAATAATAAATGAACAAAAATAATCAATTTTAGATGTAATTGTTTACTACCACTGCTAATATTATTATTATTATTATTATTATTAAAATAATTTATAATTTATTCTCTGGACAATATTCTTTTATTTGATGTTAACGTTTTAAATATTAATTTAACAATACAATAAGCCATCTAAACAATAATGATGATAATAATAATTACAAATAATTTTAGATATTGGCCTTCTTATTATTATTGTCATTTTATTCTACTAATACTAATAATAATAACACTAATACATATAATTAATAAATAATACAAATAAATCATAAATATATATTTTTTCTTTTCTAAAAAGAAAAATTTATTCTCTCTTTTCTTTGGGGTTAAAATGTTTTAAATATTAATTTAAAAATAAAATAAGCCATCTAAACAATAATGATATTAATAATAACAAATAATTGTAGATATTACTCTTATTATTATTATTATTATTATTACTGTCGTCATTTTTGTTCTACTACTACTACTATAATAATAATAATAATAATTCACAAATAATTTTTTTATTTGTTTCTAAAAAGAATAATTTATTCTCTGAAAAATATTATTTTCTTTGGTGTTAACGTGTTTTAAATATTAATTCAAAAATAAAATAAGCCATCTAAACAATAATGATAATAAAAACTAATAATTTTAGATATTAGTCTTCTTATATTTTTATTGTCACTTTTATTCTACTACTACTACTAATAATAATAATTATAAATCATAAATATTTTGTATTTTATTTCTAAAAAGAATAATTTATTCTCTGAAAAATGTAGTTGTCTGTTGTGTTAAAGTGTTTTAAATATAAAATAAATATAATAAAATAAGCCATCTAAGCAATAATATAATTTCCCCCCTTATTCCCTAAATGATTTTCTAAACAATGTTGTTGTCTTCTTCAGGGCTTACAGTGGTGCTTATTAAAAGAGGAGGAAGTCATTCCTCGTGTCCTAGCGATGGAAGGTCGCCGGGGTCGTCTGAAGAACCGTGACCCTTCGAGTTCTGCTGACCCGGCCGGCTCTCGAAGGAGAACCCGAGCGCCTGACGAGAGTGAAGCTGATGTGCTCAGCACCTCTGAGGCCAAACTACTGCGCAAACTGGAGGCCCAGGGTACCGCTCGCACAAACGCACACATTCTCTCGTCTGTTTTATGTTATTTCAATTAGAGATGTTTTAACATTTTCAATGCCCTTGATTGTGTCTGGCTTCTGGTGTCATCCACTTCCAGTTATTTTTAGGCTGTTGCGCTGCCTGGAATTGCATATCACATTATTTATATGTATTATTGTAATATTAAACACACTGGTTTGTAATGCAAATAGTTTTACCGTTTGCTGCTATTCTTTTAGTTATTTATAATGAATTGGAAGTCTTGCACATTCAAGGATAATAGCTTACGTCCTCACTGCAAAATAAGATGGATAGTTGAACTTCTATAGACGTGCTGACGATAGATTAGCTCTGAAGATCTCCCGTATGTGGCAGAAATCGCACGGCAGGCTGCTCAGATGAAGCTGATGCGTAAACTGGAAAAGCAGGCGCTGGCACGAGCCGCCAAAGAGGCCAGGAGACAACAAGGTGAGCTGGAGTTTTTTCAGATGTTTCTGGTTTCTACTAGATTTTCGATTTATTTCCGTAATTCAACTTAAAAGGTGAAACTAATATATTATAGAGACTCATTACATGCAAAGTGAGATATTTCAAGCCTTTATTTGTTATAATTTTGATGATTACGACTTACAGCTATTAAACCTTTTCACAATATTCTAATATTGAATTTGGGGTTTTCATAAGCTGTAAGTCATAATCATCAAATTTCTAACTAATAAAGGCTGGAAATATCTCACTTTGCATGTAATGAGTCTATATAATATATTAGTTTCACCCTTTAAGTTGAATTACTGAAATAAATGTACTTTTGCATGATATTCTAATTTTTCTAGTTTCACCCGTACGTCTGCTCAACATTTTCCTCTGAACTTTCAGCAATCATGGCAGCAGAGGAGCGGCGCAAACACAAGGAGCAAATGAAGATCCTGAAACAGCAGGTCAGAAATCAGCCCATGCCACCACTATCTGACGTGCTTTCTCATGTCGTTTCATGCTGACTTGTTTGTGCATTGCTTTTGACACTTCCGATAAGCATTTGCTTTTACGGGTGGGAGAAAAAAACGATCCATCGATGCATCGCGATTCTCTCTCCAACGATTCTGAGCTTAGTTTAACCAGATGTGCGATGACTGTAGGCCTACATACACCACTCGAACCTTCCGTGAAATCATCTTTCATAAAATTCGGAAAGATTGAAGCGAATTACGAGGACATTCACAGGCTTCATTGCACGCGCTGTGAGAGACGCGCACTTTGTTTGATGTTACACTTGAAGTGTGCTGTCTTGCCCGTCGGTATATTTTCCTTACGAATGCTCTACGAAGTCATCATTTATGTGGTTTGCAATGCAGTGGACTTATATATTTAAAATATGACTGCTTTCAATTTCACATCCTCACGCGCGCTTTGTTTGTGTAGACTGCTCGCGCATGCGGCTGTGCGTCTCCGTGGTTTAATGTACTTGAGCAAAATTAACGTAAACACAGCCAGTTATGTCTTAAAGGGTTAGTTCACCCAAAAATGAAAATTAAGTCATTAATTACTCACCCCCATGCTGTTCTAACCCTGTAAGACCTTCGTTCATCTTCGGAACACAAATAAAGATATTTTTGATTGAATCTGAGAGCTGGATCAGTCCTACATAGACTGCCTAAGGGACTGGCTCTTGACGGCCCATAAAGTCATTAAAGAAAAGGTTTAAATATTCCATGTGCCTACAGCGGCTCAATTATAAGTTTATCAAGCGACGAGAATACTTTTTGTGCGAAAAAAACATAAATAACGACTTTATTCCACTATTTCATTACTTCCTTATGGGCGCATGCGCGAGAACTGAGACGAGGACGTTCTCCTTCGTCTACTTCTTGTTACCGGCTGCTCCGCTTAGGAGTTTTACCGCCCCCTACCGTATAAGATGATGATCCATATATAAGGCGCTCCGGATTATAAGGAACACTGTCGTTTTTTGAGAAGATTAAAGGCTTTTAAGTGCACCTTATAGTGCGGAAAATACGCTAATTGAAAAGCGTATGTACAGCGCGCATCTTCCTCTGCTTGTAAACAGAAAGTTTTGCGCTTCCAGCTATATCAGCACATCATCTTATATGGTAGGGGGCGGTAAAACTCCTAAGCGGTGAGCAGCCGGTAACAAGAAGTAGACGAATGAGAACGTCCTCGTCTCAGTTCTCGCGCATGCGCCCATAAGGAAGTAATGGAATAGTGGAATAAAGTCTTTATTTATGTTTTTTTTTCGCACAAAAAGTATTCTCGTCGCTTGATAAACTTATAATTGAGCCGCTGTAGGCACATGGACATCCCTTAGGCAGTCTATGTAGGACTGATCCAGCTCTCAGATTCAATCAAAAATATCTTTATTTGTGTTCCGAAGATGATCGAAGGTCTTACGGGGTTGGAACAGCATGGGGGTAAGTAATTAATGACTTAATTTTCATTTTTGGGTGAACTAACCCTTTAAGGGATTAAACGGACAGGACAAACCACATTACTTCATGTATTTCAAAAGAGATGCAGCTTAATAGATCTCCCGCAGTCTATGTTGTCATTAGCCATGTTTCCATCAACACGTTTTTATCCGAATTAAGTGATATCGAATGAGAAATGCCTTATGGAAACAGTAAAATTCGATGAAATTTCATGAAAATCGACTCAAATGAAATACGTTCGGTCTCATCGGATTTTATCTTGATCGATATATGGATAATGCGATAAAAGCTGATGGAAACGTTATTTGCCGAATAAATAATGAATTGCGATTAAGTTTTATGCTCTTTTATGGTTGCAACACGCCAGAAGACGAGTTCATTTCCGGCCAGTAGGTTTGCGCACACATGGCGGATGTCAACAATTTGATCGCAAAACAGCATGTGACGTCATTACGTACAGGTTTTTATTCGCTTTAAAGCCGTTGGATGGGAACACGCTTTCACCAGCTTTATCCGCATGAGTTTTTTAACCGAACTTCAGATAATTCGATTGACAAGTGGATGGAAACATGGCTATAGTAAAAAAATAACAGGCTAAAGATGAAGAAAATTCCCTCACAGTTCTTGAATGGAAAACGTTCAGATAATCTATAATCTAAAATTTGTAATTATTAAAAACAGTAGGCCTATATAATTATATAAACTAATGAATTAATTGGGGGAGGGGGGTAATATAAAGAATCGTTCTGGAATCGGATCATGACTTCCAGAATCGGATCGGATCGTGAGGTGACCAAAGATTCCCACCCCTATTTGCTTTTATGTATTGATGCATAAAATGCCTGTGGCTCTACATTTAATTTATGAAAAAATCCAGACTGCATTTCAATCTCTCTCGTTGCTGGCTATTTCCACAGGAAAAGTTCAAGAGAATCCAGCAGGTCCGTATGGAGAAAGAACTCCGTGCTCGGCAAATTTTGGAGGTAAAGTTTATATACCGGTATACTAAAAAATAACACAAATGAAAAAGAAGAAAAAAATTGATATGCAGTTGATATACAGTATTGAAATGTGCTTTATAAATAAACTTTATAAAACTGTGCTTTATAAATAAACATGACTTGACAACAGTATACTGTACAGGTATGTACAGTATGTCAAAAATCTGAAAAACGTTGTTGTTTTTTAACTATCGCATTCTCTAAGACTAAGTAATACTGTACGACACATTTAAACACTTACTGGTTAACTTATAACCATCAAATATTTTATTTAGTATTGATATTGTATTGTGTAATAAGTGATACAGTAATGTCTGTTTATGTTCACAGGCTAAAAGAAAAAAGAAGGAAGAGGCTGTCAACGCCAAAATACTAGAAGCTGAAAAACGAATAAAGGTTTTTATTTTAATAATTGAAGCATTTATTGATTTACTGAAGCATTTCATCTCAATTTCCGTCTCTTTCACCTATATCTGGTTCATGTCATTACATGTTTTCTCCCATAGTTTCCAAGACTGATTTCTAATTGGATCAGTTACCTTACCAAAAATAAGATCGGTCAGATATTAAGTTACTCAGGACAACAATACACCATGTTGGTGTTTTGATTTTATAGATAAGATTAATTGTTACAATTGACAAATGAGTTCAGTTATTAAATGATTCATGTCATATTTGATGACACCATTGTCATTGGCAAAATGTCTGAGACTGGCCTGGGCACATTTTTATATCCATTTGGATGTATTTTCGTGAGATTGAGTGAGACCCGAGACGGCGCCGATTCTCATTTCTCAGGTGCCCCCCGACGATACGCCTGTCAATCAAAACCCAGCCATTTCAATATACAGCGGGAATGCTATCTGTTTATGACACCCCTCCATCTGCATCTCTTTCTCTCTCCCATCCTCACTAATGGAAATAAGGCCGTATTTGCAGTTTTAATTTATTTTTATCTCTGTCTGTAGGAGAAGGAGCTCCGTAGACAGCAGTCCATCATCCTGAAGCACCAGGTATGAGCGAACCGTCTTCAAATCTCCTTCCTGTAGAGCTCTTTCACAAACACAAACAATACTTCACTGAATAATGCCTCAAGTCTCCGCTGCTTTTATTCTTTCATATGATTATTTTAAAGGAATCGTTGAGCCAATCGTTGAGGTATCTGTCAGAATGTTCTTTTTTGGCTCAACTGTTCCTCTAAATGCATTATGGGTAATCACTCTAATGGGGAGTTGCATTGATTTACTTATTTTTGTTCTTGCCTTTGCCAACTCTCTCTGCCAGGAGTTGGAGAGACATAGACTAGATATGGTATGGGTATGTTTACTTTTGAACATTTAACACATTGTGAAGTGCTTGATTCTGGTGTTTTGCACATGCAACTTAATGCTTGGACTTCGCTCACATTCCTCTTGCATGACGCCCTGCATCTGCTTTCATCTGCTTGCCAAAGGAGAGAGAAATGGGCTCTTTTCCAAAACCTAGTGAGCTGCCTATTTAGGCAGCATTTTAAGGCATCTTAAAAACAAGGCAAAGGCCTTTTAAGATATCTTCTTAGATGGCATTGGATATATCATTTGAGGCGAATGGAATCCCATGATGCATTGCTTAAAAAAAAGTACATCTTAAATTTAGTTAGTGTTATTTTAGTATTATTTGTATTAGGGCTGTCAAACGATTAATCGCATCCAAAATAAAAGTTTGTGTATACATAATATATGTGGGTGCACTGCGTATAATTATTTTATATAAATACACACACAACTAATATTTTTTTCTTAAATATACATGCATATGTATAAAATATTTATATTTATATATAATATAAATTATATTAAAATCTATATACAGTATATATATATGAAAATATTTCTTAAATATATACATGCATGTGTGTGTATTTATATATATATATAAAATAATTATACGCAGTGCACCCACATATATTATGTATACACAAACTTTTATTTTGGATGCGATTAATCGTTTGACAGCCCTAATGGGCTCTATGCACGGCGGTATTTCCGGTGAAGGATTAAGGATGCTCGATAACTTCCGCCGATCGTAGAGTCCAATGCAATACAGAGAATTTATATTGAATTTTATACTCCATGGTTATACTAAAGAAACGTTAGTCACAAAAACATTTAAAACAGACACCCCTCGTTGTGTTTATGCTTCTTTTTAAAATTATATTAAATAAACATAACTATATATAAAAATACATCTAAACGTATGTACGTTTCGTTTCAAAGACGGGAGGACAGTACATTTTGAAGACTCTGCCATAATCCCGTTTTCCTCGGTTCTCCTCCGCTTTAATCTCCACAACCGGAAATGGACGAGCATCCTTGCGTCAAATGCGGAATTTATGCGTGCATATAGCCCATTTATATATTCTTTTAGTATTTTTTCATATTTTGAATTGGAATTTATTTAATATTTTCAGCTTTCATTTTTAAATTTTAATATGATTTAATAATCTTTTGTTGTGCTTTTATTATTTTTGGTTACACTTTATTTTAAGGTGTCGATCATTTAAGTACGAACTACATGCACTTATTGTAGGGTTTGGTTTAGGATTAATTGTGTGTAATTTTTTATATATTTCTATGTAGCTTTATTTTTAGTTTAAAATTTTAGTATTAAAGATTAAACTAATTCAGTTAGTAGCCAAGGCAACATTTCTAATTTCTATTTTTCTTCATATGTATATATATATATATATATATATATATATTAGGGCTGCGAAACGATTAATCGCGATTAATCGCATCCAAAATAAAATTTTGTGTTTACATAACATACGTGAGGGCACTGTGTATGTATAATTATTTCATATATATATATATATATATATATATATACACACACATGCTTGGATATATTTAAGAAATATTTTCATGTATATACTGTATATAGATTTATATATAATTTATATTATATATAAATATAAATATTTTATATATAAATCATATTTTTTTCTTAAATATACATGCATGTGTGTGTGTGTGTGTATATATATATATATACATATATATACAAAATAATTATACACAGTACACCCACACATATTATGTAACCACAAACTTTTATTTTGGATGCGATTAATACGCGATTAATCGTTTAACAGCCCTAATATATATATATATATATATGAAGAGTTCAGATGTGCCATTTGAAATTTTCTTCTAGAATGATCATTTTTATCAAGCTTGTATATTTAAATTCAGTAATTTCACTTAAATGACAATTTATAGGTAATCTTCATTGCCATTTAAGTAAAAGTAATTAACTAAAATATACAAGCTTGATAAAAATGATCATTCTAGAAGAAAATTTCAAATGGCATTTAGAGGCTTTTGCATCTGAACTCTTCATATATATATATATATATATATATATATATTTAGTTCATTTAAATAAAGCCATTTTTAATAGTTTTAGTTAAATGCAACACTGTCATACAGTACTGAAAAGAATTTATTAAAGTAGTTCAATCCTGTTTGTTTTACCTGATAATTGTGTTTGTGCTAGATATTTTACATGCTAATTAGAGAGCCATTTGTTAAGCAACATGCTAAACTCTATTGAAATGAGTTGAAAGTCGAGTCTCCTCTTCACACGTGTGGAGTGCTAGTTATATGAAGGACGCAGAGGGTTTTATCCTGTTAGGATGCAGCTCACTGTTTTGGAACAGAGTCATAATCTAAATATCTGTTAACAGACATCAGTCACGAGATTTCCACCAGTGCCGGTGGAGATTGGATTGCGTGCGGCGACCGCGCTGCTTCATATCATCAAGCCTTAATCATAAACATCCATTCTGATTCGTGCTTGTTCTTCATTTGTTCGTGATATTTAACAGCATCCAGCATAAAATAATCTCCTAAAGATAACTGGAGAAGTATAAAGTGCTTTAAAGTCTGCTAAAATCTTGATGTACTGAGAAAGTTTCGAGTCTCTTCCTGTCTGTCCTGCTCTAAAGAGCTGCCCGTATAACCTGAAGCTTAATCTGTAACACCTGGAATAACTCTCCGCCAGATGTTTAGGAAGTGGTTATCAGATCTGTCATCGGGGTCTGAAGGCACGTTCACACCAGAATCATAACTATAACGATATCAGCGTCCACACCAGCGCACAATATCGTTCTGTTTATTTGTGTCGTCTGTCGCTTTAAAGAGATAGTTCACGGTATGTTTTATCTTACCTCAAGGGCATCCAAGATGTAGGTGTCTTTGTTTCCACTGTAGTTTCAATTTTGATATTTTTAGGTCAAACCGTTCTTGTCTGTCAGTCATATAATTGAGGTCTATGGTCACCACCTCAAAGAGCATGCACAGACAAGTCCAAATTAAACATGATTTAATGACTCGTAAATGCAAGTACACATTGATGGCCTAAGACACGAAACGAGCGGTTTGTGTGAGAAAACGAACAGTATTTATATCGTTTTTACCTCTTGTAACCACAGCCACATTCATGTACTCTGAGGGCGTGGAAAGCGCTGGAAGTGATCTCTCGTGCGGTTGCGAAAAAAATTTAAGGTGGTCTATTGATATATCGAAATCATCTTCCATTGTGATTTCCTGTGTATCTAAATATGTAATGTGTTTCACTTCCGAAATCGCTGTGTAAACAATGAGTGACGTACACGCGAGAGAGATCACTTCCGGCGCTGACCGATGCGCCCGCGCCCTCAGATCACTTGGACATGGCTGTGGTTACAAGAGGTAAAAACGAAATAAATACTGTTTTTTTCTCACACAAACCGCTCGTTTCGTGTCTTAGGCCATCAATGTGTACTTACATTTACGAGTCATTAAATCATGTTTAATTTGGACTTCTCTGTGCATGCTCTTTGAGGTGGTGACCATAGACCTCCATTATATGACTGACAGACAAGAACGGTTTGACCTAAAAATATCAAAATTGAAAATACTGTGGAAACAAAGACACCTACGTCTTGGATGCCCTTGAGCTAAGATAAAACACACCAAAAATTAATTTCAAAGTGAACTATCCCTTTAAATGCTCAAGCTCTTTAAAGCAAGATGGATTCTGATTGGCTGTCAATGTTTTTATCGTTCATCAGCTGGAAATCGCTCTGATGGAGTTGCGCTATTCTTTAATATTTCGAACTATATCTTCATCGTTATCATTAAAGAGGTGAACGGCCTTCAGACGGACTGATCTCCGCACCTTCATGCTTCAGCAGTGCTCGTTGTTCACATCCATTTGATTTTCTTCTTTCCTTTTTATTCTGATTGTATTTGTTCACTCATAGTCTTTCATCTTCGTTCTGTATATCATTATTTTGTTCACTCTCTCTTTTTTCTTCATTATTTTTTGCACTTTTCTTGCGTTTTTTAGTTTTAGGGCTGTGCAAAAATTAATTGCGATTAATCGCATCCAAAATAAAAGTCTGTGTTTACATAATATATTGTGTGTGTGCTGTATATAATTATTTTGTATATATAAATACACACAAATGCATGTATATATTTAAGAAAATGTGTTATTCATTTATAAAATATTTATATTTATATAATATAGATTATGTATATATATATACAGAATTTAAGCTCAAATAATTCTTAAATATATACATGCATGCATAGGTATTTATATATACAAAATAATTATATACAGCACACACAAATATATTATGTAAACACAGACTTTTATTTTGGATGCGATTAATCGCAATTAATTTTTACACAGCCCTAGTTTTTTTATTTCTTTTGTTTTATTTTTTCTTTTGTCTTATTCGTTGTTTTCTTTAGATCGTTTGCTGTTCCAATATTTTGTTTGGTCTTTTGCTTTTCCTATTTGTTCTGTCTTTTCGGTCTGGTTTAGTTTGTTCTTTCTTTTTGTGCATTCATCCTTTTGTTTTATTGTTTGTTTGTTCATTCATTCATTGTTCTTTCATTCTTTTGTTTTGTTCATTTTTTTTCTTGCACAATTTTATTTGTCCCTTCTTGTTTTGATGATTTTGTTTTTGTTTGTCTGTTTTTATAATTCATCATTTTGGTTATTTTGTGGTTACATGTTTTGTTTGTTCTTTGGTCTGTTTGTTCTTTCTCTAATGTCTCAGTGTTTGTTGTAGGAGCGGGAGAGACATCGGCAGCATGTGATGTTGATGAAGGCGGTGGAGGCCCGGAAGAAAGCTGAGGTGTGTTAAACAGCTCCTTTTATCGGTTCATCCTTCTCTTTTACCCCTCCTTTCCATTCTCCATCTATTGGTCTCCCATTACTCACTATATCCTCTAATGCTCCGTCTCATCATCTCTCTTTCAATGTCTCTTTTCTCCTCTCATCATCCTTCCACTCTATGAATGTGTTTGGCACACACAAGGTTTGTTATCTCTTCAAAAATGTTTCTGCAGGAGAAGGAGCGACTGAAACAGGAGAAACGAGATGAGAAACGATTGAACAAGGAGCGCAAACTGGAGATCAGGCGGCTTGAGCTGGAAATGGCCAAAGAGCTGAACAAACCCAATGAAGACATGTGTCTGTCGGACCTGAAGGTGAATCACTCAGAAAATCTTCTTTTTTTATTTGTGTGTGCTCAAGCAAATTTAAACATTAAAGGGTACATATCATGCTTTTAAATCATTCATTTTTACTTATAAATCATACATTTGTGGTCTATATAAAGCATAACTGCAATGCTTGGGTCTGAATTCTTTATTATTATAGCTCCACAGGCCCCTTTTCTGATGTGCGTCTGTGAGCGACCCGTTTCAAAGCGGCCCCTTTAAATAAAAAGGAGTTGCGTCTTTCCCCGCCCGCTCTCCAGGTCGCTGAATTCACACTCGGTTCAACTCCCCGGGTTCGGCCATTATTGTAGTTTGATTAGAGATATACGATTACTAGCTTCAAAGAACATTTTTATTCACACGTTAACAAAATGTCAACAACGGAAGACTTGTCCATCAAGCCTTACATATGAAAAAGACGACGACAAACCTGCAGAACAACGTCATCATATGGAGGCAGGGGTATGTAAGTTAACTATGTTGTGTTATTAGTGAAAGTCGACTATTTATCTTGTTAAAACAAGCACACTGACAAGATAAATGACTACGGTCTGATCTTACCACAAACAATCTGTGTTGATAATAATATGATAACTTACGTTTAGAAAAGCATCAGAAAACACAACAGCTAAATAATAGAAGGAATTGACCCTCATTCAGACGAAGTCGATCGGCAAACCCTTCTTTATACTGGCGGAGGTTGTTGAAGTGGGGATCCTTGAAGTGCTTCAGGTCACTAACGTACATCCAACAACCGAACATTTTGACTTGCCCTCTCGTAACTTCTGCATCATTGAGCTCGGACTACAAAATCGGAGTGAGAAATAATAATGGCGGATTGCTCGAAGTGTTGGACCGGTAGTCAATGTCCTTATTTGGCAGTTCCACTGCAAATACTGTGACGTGATAGTTCAAAAAAACGTCATAGAGAACAGAAAAATCTGAACAGAATATAAAGATATAAACGAAGCACCTGAAGAGAATAATTTCATCTTTTCTGTACTTATAAACACTCCAAATATACAACAAAATGCATTTAAGGGCTAAAAAAGTGGATTTTGCATGATATGTCCCCTTTAAGAGGGTAACATTAAGATTGCTTTTCCTGTAGTTGACAATAGTGACATATAAAGCACATAGATAGTCCTAGCAGCCATGATCCAGAACAAGCCATACAATCAAAACAGATTCATAAAGCCGTGCTTCAAAATCAAGGGAGTCTTGAGATGAATTATTATAAGTACTTAATAATTTTGTGCATGTTCAGCCTCTGCCAGCGCTGTCACGGATCGCCGGTCTGGTGTTGCCGGGAGGATGTTTCTCAGACTGTCTCATGGTGATGCAGTTCCTGCGCTGTTTTGGAAAGGTCCTGGGGTTCGACCTCGGCGCTGACGTGCCGTCACTCGGCGTGCTGCAGGCAGGGCTGCTGAATGTGGGCGACAGCATGGGCTTCATCCAAGACCTGCTGGTGCGCATGCTGTCTGCTGCTGTGTGTGACCCAGGACTGCCTCCGGGACACAGGGTGAGAGGAGAGCTGCTGTACTGTGTGTGCTTGGATCTGTCTGGATTCATGCTCTGATCACATGTTTGCTGCACAATTGTTGTGTGATTTCAAGCATTTAAGCCTTGAGATCAAAAGATTTTTGAGATCTTGAGAAACAAATTTATTTTTATGTAATTATTTATTAGATTTCTCGATATTAATCGATTCTCATCTTTACGAACCGATATCGATTCTTAAATCTCAAGAATCGATTAGTCATCCTGTTTCATTTGAATGAATGGGACATTGTATCGCGGCTGCGCGCATCCAAAAAATCGCAATAATCTTTGTCCTTTGTTACTATTGATATGAAACAAAGTCTCAATTTTCAAATTACGTCCATTTTCTTTAGAAATTCAAAAACATAAATAAGGATTTGGCGCTGTGGCGTGAGATCGCTCTGGCGCAGCTCAAGAGATCTCTCTTCCGGCTCAATAATACCAGTCACAGCGTGAAATAAACATGAATGAGCATCTGAAAGTGTGTTAAAAGATAGAGTACAACTTATCGAAATCCGTATCATGATTCATGTCACATTGATTCGCTCAATCAGCGTTTCAACCGTGGAAAGACGTCAGTTAAACAGCTTGTAATCAATGTCATGTATCGTCATATTTACCTCAGAAAACACACATAAGCTCGTTAGTCAGCTAGAAATATAACTCTAGAGAGGAGCATTTTGCTAAATATATACACCATATTACATATGCATTATAATCTTAATATTTAATGCATATTTGAATAAATCTGGCAAGTTTTTTTTTTATGACAGCCACCATTTAAACGTTTAGATTTCATATAATCTTCTTATTATAAAAATAAATAAAAATGTAATTTAAGTGTTTGTATAGCTACCTATCATATTAGGCTAATGAAGCCTAGTAGGCCACAACTAGACTCCCATAGTTTACAGCATTAGTTAAGAGATTTAATTTCCTTGAGAAAATTAGCCATTTATTGCAACTGATGTCCAAAAAAATCAATATTGAATCGAATCGGAATGGAAATCGAATCGAATTGTGAAATTTGTGTCAATACCCAGCCCTATTATTTATGTATTTATTATTTTTATTTACCTTTTATGCAAAAGGGTAAATATATACATATATATATACACTGTATATTTGTTTTGTTTCCCACTGATTAATCACAGATTTTTCTTTTATATTGTAATGATTTCACATTTTATCTCCAGATTAATGTAATGTATTCAGTCAAGAGCAGTGAGTGATTTTCTCTTTTTCTTTTGTTTTTTTGATTATCCTTAATGACAGAAAGCAGCAGGTTTATTAGGCTGCTGTCACTTTAAGACCTGACACACACGACGTGGATCTGACACAACTCTTTACATTCATTTAAGACATAATTTAACTAATTTAAGACTATGCCTGTGAGGATACTCGAGGAAAAAAAAATGGCATTTTGGCATAATTTTTAGTTTTTGTCTGTTCAAGTGCTGTCTAAAGTGGCATTCTGTGCGCATAAGTTGTGTGTGTGTGTGTTGAAGGGTTTAAAAGCATTTGCATGAATAAGAGCGTGATCATATAATGTAATATAACACAAGCTAAAAGATGACAGAAAAAAACGGATGCCTCGTTAATTGCGTTAAACATTTTAAATGCATTAAATAAAATAAATTGCATGCGACAGCCCTAATATATTGAATTTTAGCTAGTTACTTGGTTATTAAGTTGAATGTTTACAGCACTTACGCTCCACTATTGCATTTTTATTTTTATTAGATATATATTTCCATGTCAAAGACAAATGGAGAACCATGTACTGTACCTTACACTTGGAACAAATAGCCTGATATATTTTTAGATAAATAGCAATTATATTAAATAAGACTATTTATTTTAAAATCTCCTCAAGTTTACATTCATGTTAAAGTCTGTATTCCTCATTTACAATCTTTAAGCATGGTTTTCTTTTTTTTGGCTTCCAGTGCAATATCTCTCCAATAAAGAGCTAGAATTCAGTTCAGCCCCTCAGCAGATTTCCTGTGCTAATCTCACATGCGTTCACAGTCTTAATAAAAAGCCTTTCGCTCCCCCTAAGAAACTCCTAAATTAACCGAGTTAACCGTGCCTTTCAATTACCATAATAATTCAATTCCCTTTCAACACTATCTTGCAGCCTTTGTCACACCAAATTCCTCATTGTATCACTTTGCTCTTTTGTTTGGGTATTTTGAACGTTTCAGGCAAAGACGGCTCTGGGAGACCACGTGACTAACATCGGCTTGAACCGGCACAATGTCTCGGAGGTGCTACAGATCTTTATGGAAGCTCACTGTGGACAGACCGAGCTAGCATCGCTGGCCGAGAGTTTGAAGACCAAAGCTTTCCAGGCACACACACCCTCTCAGAAAGCCTCTATACTGGCCTTCCTGGTCAATGAGCTGTCCTGCAGCAAGACGGTGGTCAGGTGCGCTCATCTCACTTCATTAGATCTGCATGCTAAGAAGTGTAAAACTGATAAATTGCTAATATTTTTCTCCTTTATTAAATGAATTTGCAAGTAACACTTTGAATTCCACATGAAATTAAGTCGAAAGAATGTTTAATATGGTTATTTGTGCATATTTATTTATTTATTTATTTATTTAAAAGGGACAATGCATATTAATGAACATCTTAGCTTTTTAGCTATGTAAATACGCCAGAATTAGCCCCAAGGCTATTTTAGTCCCCCATCATTTCATTACAATATCAAGTCACAAAGCTAACCATTGAAATTAAATATGATGCTACACAATTTAAAGGACACCACAATATTCAAACAACATTATAAGAGATACCACCGTTTTCAGACAGGGCTTCTAATACAGGTTACACATACATGTACACATATACAATAAAGTGCTATATTGTGTACTTTAAGTACATTGTAATTACCATGTAAAATGTACGAAAAATAATATTTTGGTTTGAATATTTCATGTAAATATTTTCGAACAGACCCAAAAAATTAATTATAAACTCATGGGGACTTTAATATATACGTATAATTTTAAAATAAATCTTGTTTTAAATACAAATTTCCAAAAAATGAAATAGACAATTTGTCCATTTTATTTTTATTATTTTATGAAATTTCGCCTCCCGGTCTTGGTTTAAGGATTTGCACACACATTATTTTTATGTAAAATACTGAGTAAAAAAAAAATTATTAGAATATCAACCATTTTTTTTTATTTCTTATATGTCATGATATACTATTAGTGTAATGTAAAATGAGTTACAATGTAAGATTTTGGTAATACAGCCCATCTCTGTTTGTGCTTATAATAATGTGTTTAATGCATACAATTTATTTCTTTGTCACAGTGAGATTGACAAAAACATTGACAACATGACCAACCTGCGTCGAGACAAATGGGTGATTGAGGGGAACCTGCGGAAGTAAGACCCATCACATAAACACACATATGTAAAACACACATTATGGATCCCTATTAGTGGAGGTTCATAATATACAGTGGTATTTTTATTCATAAGAACAGAATACTGCTGCAGCATTTTATTTATAAAAAATAAAAACCTAAACTCACTTTCAGTGATGTACTTTTTCTGTGTTTTGGAAATGCAAACCTAGTTATGATGTGATTATTATTTTTTAGTCATTTATTTTGGCTGTTGTTGCACAGACTGAGGAGCATCTACGCTAAGAGGACAGGAAAGCGAGAAAGCACTGCTGGAGGAGAGGAGGGTCAAGCCGCTGGTAGGGTCAGCCGTAAACGCAAGCGCAAAGGGGGCGAGAGTGATGATGAGGAGGAGGAAGATGATGACAGCGATGAACATGGAGAGGAGGATGAAGACGAAGATGACTTTGGTGTGAAGAAAGAGAAGAAAGCCGAGGCGTGTGAAGCTGATGAGGTAAAGCGTGACTCTGAGTTTATCATCGTGTAAACGTTTTTTTGTTTATTTTTTGAATATTGAACACTTTATGCATTTAGCAGATGCTTTTATCTAATGTACATCTGTTTGACGTCAGAACTTTTTTTCAGTTTAGTTTCAGTAATTCTCTTTTTTTCCACTGTAGTTTTGAGTTCTACAAGTTATATTATGTTTCCATAAGAAAAGAAAAAAAGCCCTACACAACACATAGACTAAGATATTTCCTTCAGTGTTTCTGCTGTAATTAAAACACAGCTTCTTGTTTTGGTTGTTTACTGTTAACACAGCCACTGTTTTTAGTCCTATGCTTGAATAGCATGTCCGCTCCCAGTGTTGGTTGATTTGTTAGGATGTATTAAAAGCTGCTTTTTGCAGGATGAAGGTGATCAATCCACAAGCATTGAAGAGCTGGAGAAACAGATTGAGAAGCTCAGCAAGGTAAATGAGCATCAGTGTAACAAACGGTAACACTTTACAATAAGGTACATTAGTTAACATAAACTGCACTTCTACTGCATTTATTAATCTTTGTTAAAGGAGTAGTTCACTTTAAAAAAAACATGGTTATCCAAGATGTCCACGTCTTTCTTTCTTCACTTGAAAAGAAAATCAGGTTTTTGATGAAAACATTCCAGGATTTTCTCCATATAATGGACTTCAATGGGGTCCAAACAGTTCAAGGTCCAAAAGACAGTTTCATTACAGCTTCAAAGGGCTTTAAACGACACCAGACGATGAATAAGGGTCTTATCAAGTGAAACGATCGCTCATTTAATAAATAAATTACAAAGTTTAAGTTTTATAAGCTCAAATGCTCGCCTTGCTCTGTTCTGTGATGCACGTTTGTGACTCTCCTGTTCGAACTCGTCCATCAAAATGAACGAATCTTAACTAACGTTAACAAAGATTAATAAATACAGTAACAAATGTAATGCTCATGGTTGGTTCATGTTGGTTAATACACTAAATATGAACCTTATTGTAAAGGGTTACCCACCTAACACATTAGACACTGCATTTGTGTCACCTAACACAAGACGCTGTAACAAATGTAATTTAATGTTCATGAAACATGGCAAATATAGAACAAAAAGGAAATATAGAACACAGTTATTAAGAAAAAGAAAGCAAGACACCACAGGCGAATCTCATTAAACTCATTAAAAACAAATGTCCTCTACAGAGGACAAATATGAATAGCTGGTTCCCAGGAGGATAACATGCCTATACTTGCTAAACAGTATAGTAAATGTGCTAAAAGGACAGATTCACTTGCAACTTTCCAAACATAAAGCAAATATTTTCAGTAAAGAGAGAAAAAATATTGAATGAAATTGAGACCGGTCTTGATTTTACATACATATTCGAATTGCTGCCTTCTGGGCGACGATATTGCCTCGCTCTGTTGACCATAAATAGATCAAAGTCTTCATTTGTGCCTCCAGCAATTAAATATGTAAGTTAAATAGGTAAGATACTCAGCTGGTCTGGTATGCCTAACTTAATCGGTAGTAAAGGGCATGGGGAAATACACTACCGGTCAAAAGTTTTAGGTCGGTAAGATTTTTTATGTTTTTAAAAGAAGTCTCTTCTGCTCACCAAGGCTGCAATTATTTGATTTAAAAAAAAAAACAAAAAAAAAAAAACAGTAATATTGTGAAATATTATTACTATTTAAAACAGCGGTTTTCTATGTGAATATATAGTGAAGTGTAATTTATTCCTGTGATCAAAGCTGAATTTACAGCATCATTACTCCAGTCTTCAGTGTCACATGATCCTACAGAAATTATTATAATATGAGGCTCAAGAAACATTTATGATTATTATCCATGTTGAAAACTGTTTTTTTTACATTTTTATTTCAGGATTCTTTGATGAACAGAAAGTTCAAAAGAACAGAATTGATCTGAAATGGAAATTAAGCTTTTGTAACATTAATCACTACCATTCAAAAGTTTGGGGTCAGTCAGAATTTATTTTTTATTTTTGGGGGAAAGAAATTAGAAAATACTTTTATTCATCAAGAATGCGTTAAATTGATCAAAAGTTACAGTAAAGACATTTATAATGTTAGAAAATATTATATTTTAAATAAATGCTGTTCTTTTGAACTTTCTATTCATCATAGAATTTTGGGGTGAAAAAATGGTACACGACTGCTTTCAACATTGAAAATAATAATTTATGTTTTTTGAGCATAAAATCAGCATATTAGAATGATTTCTGAATGATCATGTGACACTGAAAACTGATGTGTAATCAGCAACAGTAATGATGTGGAAAATTCAGCTTTCAAATTACATTTTAAAATATATTAAAATAGAAAACAGTCATTTTAAATTGTCATAATATTTTACAATATTACTGTTTGTCTTTTTTGTTTTTCATCAAATAATTGCAGCCTTGGTGGGCAGAAGAGACTTCATTTAAAAACATAAAAAATCTTACTGAGCTAAAACTTTTGACCGGTAGTGTATGTTGATAAGTGTATTAGTGTGTTTAAAGGTTCTCTTTTGGTCTATGATGTATGTTGAAATGCCTACTTGATAGCCAAATCAAACAAATTTTCCTTACGGGGACAATTAAATGTACTTTACTTCTTACAGCAACAGACTCAGATCCGCCGGAAGCTGTTCGAGGCGTCTCACTCCCTGCGCTCGGTGATGTTCGGTCAGGACCGGTTCAGAAGACGCTTCTGGGTTCTGCCGCAGTGTGGCGGGATCTTTGTGGAGGCGCTGGAGAGTGGAGACGGTGAGAGGACGAGATTATAATGTCTTCTAAAGGACTGATCTCTAAGTTACAAGCTTACAGGAAACACCCTGGAAAAGAGAGAAAATGGGTGGAATAGTTCAAACTAAATGACAATGAGTAATACAATCTTTATTCCTGTGATCAAAGCTGAATTTTCAGCATCATGACATCATGATCCTTCAGAAATCACTCTGATATGCAAATTTGCAGATGTTGAAAACAGTTGTGTGCACTTTTAAGGAGTAGTTCACTTTTGAAAAATATTTTGCTGATAATTTACTCACCCCCATGTCACCCAAGATGTCCATGTCTTTCTTTCTTCAGTCGAAAAGAAATGAAGGTTTTTGATGAAAACATTCCAGAATTTTTCTCCATATAATGGACTTCAATGGGGACCAAACGGTTCAAGGTCCAAAAGACACTTTCAGTGCAAACTGCAAACTGTTCAAAGGGCTTTAAACGATTCCAGACGATGAATAAGGGTCTTATCAAGCAAAACGATCCCTCATTCAATAAATAAACAACAAAATGTAAGTTTTATAAGCTCAAATGCTCGTCTTGCTCTGTTCTGTGATGCGCGTTCGTGACTCTCCTGTTCAAACTCGTTTATCAAAATGAACGAATCTTTTTTCTTCAACGAATGAAATCAATGAGTTGACTCAGGAAAAGATTCATCATTTTGATGAACGAGTTCGAATAGGAGAGTCACGAACGCGCATCACAGAACAGAGCAAGGCGACCATTTCAGCTTATAAAACTTAAACTTTGTTATTTATTTATTAAATGAGTGATCGTTTTGCTTGATAAGATCGTCTGGAATCGTTTAAAGCCCTTTGAAGCTGCACTGAAACTGTCTTTTGGACTTTGAACCGTTTGGACCCCATTGAAGTCCATTATATGGAGAAAAATCCTGGAATGTTTTCATCAAAAACCTTACTTTCTATTCGACTGAAGAAAGAAAGACATGGACATCTTGGATGACATGGGGATGAGTAAATTATCAGCAAAAGTTTTTTTTTTAAAGCGAACTACTCCTTTAATTTTTCTGGATTCTTTGATGAATAGAAAGTTCAAAAGAAAAGCATTTATCTGAAACGACATTTATCCAAAACTTTTGTTAGAAAAGCTTTCAATTTCAGATAATGCTTTTGAACTTTCTATTCATACACATAGAGTACATGCATACATGCATATAAACAATATTATAATATCCAAGTAATATATAACCAATATTGAGCACTTGGATGACTTTTTTCTTTACAGTTTTTTTTTATTATTTTTCTTAATAAATATTATTTTATTGGAACTATCCATTGTAGAAATGTACTGCTGCTGACATCTTGTGTTCCTTCAGGTCCAGTAGAGTTGCAGAGGGAGCGTGAGAGGTTGAAGAACGCTCACCCCGTCCAGGTCAAAGTGGAGCCGGCAGACGAGGCTGATGGGAAATACGGCTCCGCTGAGGTGAAACGTGAACTCCCGCAGGATCTAGATTCTCTAAACCTCTTCCTTCAGAAACCTGGCTCCTTCTCTAAGCTCAGCAAGCTGTTGGAAGTGGCCAAGATGTCCTCCGAGGTCTCTTGTCGCCAAAATGGCAGTCCAAAACAGAAGAATACATTACCCAGCAGCCCTGATCCCGATCACCCGTGTCTTCTAAACAACTCCTTCCTCACGAACGCCCAGCAGCAGATCCGGAACGACCAGCTCTACAAGGTCTTGACCGAGAGGAACGCTCACTGGTTCAGTCTTCTGCCACGCTCTCCATGTGACGCCTCATCTCTTACTGAAGGTCCACATTCAGCGTCGTCATCTTCCTCGCCACAAACGTCCAATGACAGAGCCCGATCCCCGTTTGCCACCTGTCCGTCCAGCCCTGCGGGAATCAATAACCTTTCATTAGCAGATCTGCGGGTATGATCGAGGGATTTTTTTTTTTTTTGTTTGTTTTTTTGTTCAGCCAAACTCGCATATTTTAAGTTAATATTAAGAAAAAATCATATTTGTTTCGTAAGTGTTTTATTTACATTTGTTTATATATGGAGCTGCACATATATAGGGCTTATAATGATAATAATAATAACTACAAAACTATTTAACTATAAAAATGTTAATATTATTATATAAATATATCACTGTTGTAAATAACAATTGTTTAAAATGTATTAATTATAACAGTTATTTTTAGTAATTATATTTTGCACTGCAAGTTACAATACTAATATTAATATATTAAATTCTTCACTTTCAAGCATTCAAATCCTAAAGCTTTTATTTTGGCTTATTATTATTATTATTATACTTTATATTGTTCAACTATTTAAAATAAATAATATATAATTTATTATGTAAATAGATTACTGTTGTAAATGACATTTGATTTGATCATTTTAGTCAATAATTTTAATAGATAATTATTTTTTAATAGATAATTTTAGTCAATGCTATACAATACTAATATTTATGAAACATAATTCCCTTTTAAACGTTCAAATCCTAAAATTATCTGTCCAGATAAATGCTGGAAATTACGTTAATGTAAATAAAGTAATCCTAGCGCACATTGCAAACTCCCGAACTGCACATTAAGCACACTTCACATACAGAGATGGAGTCGAGAAGCAGCATTTACTGTGAACGAGGCGCTCTGATGCCCAAACAGACACGCGTAACATACTTATTTAAATCACAGCCTTTGATTTGATAATCAAACTACGCTAAATTGCATTTTCAGTTTTATCTCAATTATTTGTGCAGCCACATTTATTTATTATTTACTACGTGTACATGTACTTACTGAAGCTGCAGTTCCCTCATGAAGCTCCCGGGGTTAGCGAAGCCCTGGCAGGAAAACTATTTGTTCTGCTCTTTTTGTGTTTGTGTTCTTTGACTATATCTGTGTTTGCAGGTGAAGTCTGGTGTGCCCATAATAGATCTGCCGTTCTATGCTTGGTCCAATGGAAATCTGAGTCCAAATGTGATGTTCTCTGGGATTTCCATGGCCCAGATTCTCAGTGGCGTTCACCCACTCTCAGAGGGCAATGCTAACGTCAGTGTGAGCACCAGTAAAAGCAGTTCCCCCCAGTCTCCAGTGGAGAAACCTCTCTCCACACTCTCACCCGCTCTCGAGGCGGCTAGAAATCAGGATTACCCGTCACCTCAGCCTATTCCTGAAGGTGAGACTGGGACCATATCTTCAGTGTGTTGTTATTTTATTTAAGAGTTTTATTATTATTATTTATTATTTTTATGTTTTATTCATGTATGGTTAGTTGTGTTTTTAATCCGTTGAAAGTCTCGATACAGAGTTCTGATTGAAGGTTAATTTATGTCATCACTCAAAAATCTACATAAGATATTCAATAGGTGTCATTTTTCATATATTAAAGTACTTTAGTAAAAATCTGATATATATATATATATATATATATATATATGTATATGTGTGTGTGTATGTATGTGTATATATATATATATATATATATGTGTGTGTATGTATGTGTGTATATATATATATATATATAAATGTGTGTGTATGTATGTATGTATATGAAAGACTTTGTGTGGGTTTAATATATATATTTATTTATTTTATTTATTTATAAATTAATTTTTTATTTAAATATTATTATTATTTTATTTTATTTTTTATACAATTTTTTTTCTGCTCAGTAAGATTTTTATTTTTCTTATTTTTTTATTTTTTTTTTATCCAATTATTCTGAAATATTGCAATTTAAATAACTGTTTCCTATTGTAATATATTTTAAAATGTAATGTATTTCAAATGTAATTTATTTATTTATAAGCTGTATTTTCAGCATCATTACTCCAATCTTCAGTGTCACATGACACTTCAGAAATCACTCTAATATTATGATTTTCTGCTCAAGAAACATTGCTTTGTATTATCATTTTTCAATTTATCAAATTTCATGCATTTTTTAATGAAAAGAAAGTTAAAAAGAACAGCGTTATTTGTATCAGAAATATTGGTAACATAATAAATGTCTTTACTGTCACTTTTGATAATTTTAATGCGTCTTACTAAAGAAAAGTTTTCCAAAATTAAATGACTGACCCCAAACATTTAAAGGGTAGTGTATTATAAAATTGTTATATTAATATTTACTAATATTTTTAACATCATTAGAATTCTTAAACATTTTAAATCTACTTTTTTAATTATAATCATAAGCTGTTTAAAAATGAAAAATATGTAGATTTGTGTTTTTACATTTAGATTTATGTGCATGTGGCCCAGTTTAAAGCATTTTTGTGTTGTAGAGATGTTGACTGGCTGGTGGAAGGTGACGGACATTGAGGAGTTACGATCCATAGAGAAAGCATGCCATTCCCGAGGGATCCGGGAAAAACAGCTCCAGAAACAACTGCAGAAACACATGGATTACATCGGCCAGGTCTGCAGCAGGAACAGAGATGGTTGGTGATGCTCATTGTGTCCCATAAGGGCTGTTGGACATGCTTTGAGTGCAGCGCTCTTAGTGTGTGCTCTTTGTCTAGTCACCGTCATCGACGTCTCTGAGCTGGAGGAGAATCAGGTCTCGGAGGACACCGTCCAAAGCTGGTGTGTGGAAGAGCAGGCCATGGATATAGACATTGGTGTCCTGCAACAGGTCGAGGAACTGGAACACAAAGTCACTTCAGCCAGTCTGCAGGTTAAGGTAGGACATCTTCATTTTAACTCTTTTCCCGCCAGCGTTTAAAAAAAAAGTTGCCAGCCACCGCCAGGGTTTTTGACGATTTTCGCTAAATTTGAATGCCCCGCTGAATATTTTCTTCCATGAATATATGAAGATGATATATATAAAAATAAAGATCTGAGCCTCTGCTTTTAGGCAAAAAAACCCTTTTTATTTTATCTTCATCTGTTCTTTTTTTATTGCCTCTTGAACAGAGGTAGGTTTTGTCAAAAACACAACATTTTGGACAAAAAACTGAGAAAAAGGTATTTTTATCAAACAAGTGCATTTAAAAGCAGAATACATTCAGATGTTGTTTCCTTCATATATAAAACTTTCCAAAATAAATTAAAAACATAAAATAAATGTAAAATATATCAAATTTCCCAGGATGTAGGCTAAGGGAAATGTAACTTTTGCAATAAAACTTCTGCCTCTGCCTCTCTGTGTTCTACCTGTGAATAATGAATAATGAATAATTGGAATTACAATAAACAGGCCTTGACACACACACACACACACACACAAATACATAGTACAATGTGGTAAATGTGCACAAAGAGAGAAATAATTTGACAATTACACCTTCATATTTAGACAGCCACACATAAATGACACACATAACTATTATAGTGTCATAATATTATACGATCTATCTGCGGCACGTCCATGGCTAGAACTTTCTGTGACAACATGTGCATCTCTCTCACTGACGACTTCGTCCCGATCAGATTCAGAATTATCAAATAAAGAGTGATCGGACTCCGAGTCCATTAACCTCCAGTACTTCAGCCATATACCTCTGCATTGTCTGTCTGATACATTCTCACTACTCCACTGTTTGAGACGATTGCGATCTGTTTCTCTGATCAAAGAGTTGCGCACTCATTCAGGACATGCGCGCGGGTCTTCCTTACCGTATACCACCTAAAACACGGATACCCGGAAAATTCCGTGTTTGGCGCAGATGCGTTTTTTCATTAAACCCGTAAAATTCCGTGTTTGGCGGGGAAAGAGTTAATGGACTTTTTGACCATCTTTTCTTGTCTATGCAATAGGGATGCTCATATTGACCGTTTAACCGTTAACCAAAAGTAAAAAATTTGACTTGATTCTATCAATTAAACTGTTTAGCGGTTTATTTATTTATTTTGCTGCATGGTAAAAAAAAATACTATATAGCCTATATTTGTAACTCACGGGCGCGTCGACATGCACAACCACACGTAGGCTACCTACAGACATATTTTGCTGAGCAAGCAAACTTTATTTCTTAGTTTATTTGATATTTATTTAATTTTTTAATTTTAATTTCTTAAAGACATTACTGGGAGATATAGAGTGACAACTGATATTCATATGCATTATATGTAAGTATCTGCTGTACTGTTATAAAGATCTCATTGATTTACATTAATACAATCAGAATTTCATCTTTTTGGCCGTATAAATACAAGCAACTGCACCAAACTGCATATTTTAAAATAATAAAATGAAGTTTTTTTTAACTAATATATTAAATAAAGTCATTTACATGCAAAGTGAGATATTTGAAGTCTTTATTTGTTATAATTTTGATGATTATGTCTTATAGATTATGAAAACCCCAAATTGAAAATTAGAATATTGTGAAAAGGTTTAATAGCTGTAAGCCATAATCATCAAAATTATAACAAATAAAGGCTTGAAATATCTCCCTTTGCATGTAATGAGTCTATAATATACTAGTTTCACCTTTTAAGTTGAATTACTGAAATGAAATTTGCACGATATTTAAATTTTTGAGCCATAAAAACGATGCATCAAATATAATGCTGAACAAAAAATTTCGATTCTTTTTAATTTTCTTGTCTAAAGGTTTAATAATTTTAAAAAATCAGATTTTTCGGACAATTATATCATATGTCAAACTTCTGAACCGCAGTAAATAAGACCAATATGCATTGCAAGCATTATGTTTGTTCCACAGGGCTGGATGCATCCAGTCCCACAGTCACAGAGTGAAGACCTGGTCTATTACGAGCACAAACCTGTCGTGGACGACTGCAACCGTGGCATCGTGCGTCATGCGAACAATCCTCTGGATATGGCAGTGACGCGTCTGGCAGAGCTGGAGAGGAACATTGAGCGAAGGTATCTGAAGAGCCCTTTAAGCAGCACCATTCAGATCAGACTGGATAACGTGGGCACGGTCTCAGTCCCGGCCCCTGCGCCATCACCTGCTAGAGCTGATGGTGACGGGTAGGTCATCCAGATTCACGCCAGTTCCTCACTCGCTTCCTCTCTGGAGTCTGCCTCTCTTCATGCTTTACTTTGGCTGTGTGCATCTGTGGGTTTATGGCTGTGGCATCTGTCTCCCATTTACATAGCAGCATGAAGCACTATCACAATAACCACAGCCTCATCTGCTTTACACAAACACGTTCTTCTTGAAAAGGCTTCCACAAAAAGGGTACTAAATACAGCCTAAATACAGGAAATTGCAATAATATTTTAATAATTTATAGTTGTTGGTAATTATAATATGAAATGTATTTATTTGAATGAATGGCCAGTGAAAATAGATGCTATTTTCTAGGTAAACTGTTTAAATTAAGATCTGTTGTTAAAACAAGTTAGCCTAAATTCGCTTAGCAGGGAAGCAAAATATTGGTTTGTAGTTGCTGATCAACTTAGACAATATTTCCCATAAAATACAATACAAATAATATTATTTAAATAATTATACACAAATGTTATTAAATAAGTAATATTAAATAAAAGGGTTTGATGACTTCTAATAGTTCTCACAACAAGAAAATATGATAATGATTAATTTTAGCATAAAACAAGCCATCTTTCTGACAGTGTTATTGTTGTATCATTGAGTGTGTGTGTGTGTGTGTGTGTATATATATATATATATATATATATATATATATGATTTTATGAAAATAACATTAAAACATTAAAATTGAAATAAAATAAAATGTATAAAACCTTTAAACTAATTGTATTTCAGCTAACTGCCGAGACAAGATTTCTAATTTTCATTTAATGTAGCCTACTAAAAAAAGTACATAATATATATATATATTCTAATTATAGTTTTTTATTAATATTTTGAATTAGTTTTTATTTTTATATTGTCTGGTTCAATTTTAATTTTAATAATTTAGTATTTTTGTTTTGTACTTTGTCCTGTTTTTAGCTTTAAAAAAAGTTTTAGCTTTTTTAGATTTATGTGCAATTTTTTTTTTTAAGTACATTAAATGAAAATTAGAAATGTTGTCTCGGCAGTTAGCTGAAATACAATAAGTTTAAAGTTTTTTTTATATTTTATTTTATTTCAAGTAACAAAAATGTTTTTTAATGTTTTTAGTTCACCCTAGTTACCGATCAGCTTACATGTTCCGTAAAATATAATAATATTTGATAATATTACATAATTAATTATATATAGATAATTATATAAATCTTATTATATAAAAGAATAGGATTTACAGACTAAACCACAAAGTGTCCCATTATGGTTTTTTAAACAGTTATGGGACACCAAAATAAACCCTATTTGTGGAAAATGCCAAAACACTTCTGAATGTGAATGCTCATTCAGCCTGTGCACTGTGGTTATTATCAGCATGAATGTGGGTTATTGATCAGTTCATGTTTTTTCTGAAAGACGGTCAAATCCAGGCTCCAAAATTAACATGCACTAAATCAGAATAAAAGTTGCCATACTGATTTACTCGTCAGTTAGCTAATAACTACATGGTTTAAATCATCACTGATGCAAAGACTGCTAAATAATTGCATTGGGTAAGGGCACATTTTTTTCATTTTATTATTTTAAATAAATAAAAACATGCAAAATACAGTTTCATGGCCAAAAGAAACATTTATGAGCTGTAAATGCTCTCACAATAGCATTAAATGCTAAATACTGTAAATGCTGTTGGTAGAAGTGGCAAGAAGTTAATTTTGGACCCTGGTCATATTGTTTAAAGTGCCCCATTATGCTTTTTAAGATAGTATCTTTAATGCAGTGTCGAAGTGCAGATAAAGTAAGTTATTGTCTCCCAAAAGACAGAACTGAATCTGAACTGCTGAAATGAGTCGTCAATAATTCCTCACTTCTCACTTCCTGCAGGAACCTACGTAGGTTTGTGAACAATTTGCATAGTGCCAGTCTATGGACTTCATTAGCTGCTGTTTATGGACTTCAACCTCTACTTTGACCTTCAAACACTGTAGTTGTAGCTCAGACTGGAAGAGTCTTTCCTTTATCACTGACTGTGAATCAAGAGCTGAAATTCAGATTCACGTGCTGTAAGCAGTTGACCAATCACAACAATCTGGGCCAATCAGAGCAGAGAAAGCTCTAGAGAAGGAGGAGTTCAGAGAGACCAAATCTTTTATCAAAGTTTCATTCTAACTAGAGAAATTGCTGCAATGTGCATTATGAGACCTACAAAACAAAATTAGCAGCCTTTAAAGTAGCATAATGGGGGCACTTTAAAAAGATGGGTTTTTTTTCTGAGCAGTGTGTAGTAGCGTAATCTCTCTCTGGCAGGGCTGAGGAAGATGTGGCTCCAGGAATGAGACAGTGGCGTAAAGCTCTCAGCGAGGTGCGCAGTGCGAGTCAGCTCTCTCTGTGTGTTCAGCAGCTGCAGAAGTCCATTGCCTGGGACAGATCCATCATGAAAGTGGTGAGTGTGCTTGAAAGCCCTGAAACCCTCAATCAAATCCTAATCATACCCTAACCCTATAGTAAGTACATGTAGTTACTTAATATTACTCAGTACTTAGACACATAATTACACTGCAACAATGACACCTTAAAATAAAGTGTAACCTAAAAGCCACAGGAAAACGTTCATAGGGGAGCCAATAGTTCTCGGGGAACCACCCTAGTGGCTATTTCCTAGAACTACACGGTGCGAATGCCCTTATTATTAGACCGGTTTGGTTGGTTTTGAGCTTGAGCGTGTTATACACGCATAATAGCTCAAATCTATCGGGTGGTTCAGAGATCTTAGTTGGTTTATTAGACTCAGGCACTTTGAGTGAATTAATCCTGGATGTGTTTATCGCTCAGTACTGTCAGATCTGCCACAAGGGGGACAACGAGGAGCTCCTGCTGCTGTGTGATGGATGTGAAAAAGGCTGCCACACGTACTGCCATAAACCCAAGATCACCACCATACCAGACGGAGACTGGTTCTGCCCGGCCTGCATATCCCAGGTGAAGATCATTCACACTGCGTTTGATGAGACCTTCTGTCTGGAAAATTAACTGATATGCAGGGTATTTTTTGTAATTGAAGACATGGAATTTCAGACGAATCTTTCTATAACATGTCAGTTCATAATGACCAAAAACCACTATCAGAGTATTATAAAAGTAGACATGTGGCTTGTGTTTTTAAGCCTTTACCTGCCGTTCAACGGTGTCAAATGTGGTACAGCACATTGATATGAAGAGTTCAGATGCAAAAGCCTCTAAATGCCATTTGAAATTTTCTTCTAAAATGACCATTTTTATCAAGCTTGTATATTTAAGTTCAGTAATTTCACTTAAATGACAATTTATAGGTAATCTTCATTGTCATTTAAGTGAAATTACTGAACTTAAATATACAAGCTTGATAAAAATGATCATTTTAGAAGAAAATTTCAAATGGCACTTAGAGGCTTTTGCATCTGAACTCTTCATATGTCATTTTTATGTGTGAAATACACACATTTTTTGTATTTAACCCTTGTGCATCAATTAAAAAAAGTTACTCATAGGTACATAGAGGACAAAAATGTCTGTCAAAAAACTCATAAAAATGTGAAGCTTGGGAGCACAGACTTAAGTTCGGTATAATTTTAAAGAAGACCCTTTGCAGATTATTGCTGAAGTGAAAAAAATAATAAAAAGTAAATCCCAAAAAAAGTTATATAGGTATAAGTTTATTAAAATGATTTATAAAAAAAAAATTTTTCCCCAAAATATATATTTTTAGAAATCAGGTTGAACTCTAAAACAGCAAGAAAATCAAAGCCATAAATCTAAATAGGTTGTGTTCCAAATTTGAGTTTGATATCTCAAAAAATGAGCTTTCGGTAAGAGTTTGTTTGGGTGCAGTAACAGATTTTCCCCATTGGGTGCCAGTAAAACCCCACTGGTGATTGGATTTTAGACTAGAGTTTTTCTCTCACACAAACACACACACACACAAAAAAATTATTACACGCATACAAACCACACTATGATATCCACACCAACACACCCACACAATTATCGTTGCACAATTTATCCAATTGGCTGTATAATATGCTGAAGCAGAAAACAGGAATAAAGCGCTATTTGTTTTATAGGCAAAACCTGGAAAAATGACACCATCTGATAAAACATAGTAAATATTAACATTTTGAAGCCTCGCCAACAGAATAAAAGCCTCTTAACAAAGATTGCATCATTTTATAGTTAAATGGCCCTGGGATTAAAAATTGCAGTTTTAATGGGTTTCAATGGGGACATTTTTGTCCAAAAGGTACTGAGAGGGAGTACTTTGTGTAGCTCGTGCAAAAAAGATTTTTTGAAGAAAATGGTGGTGAAATACTAAAATTCCAATAAAAATACACAACTGTGCCAAATTTTATGCAGTTAGCTTAAACACAGGCAAAGTGATCAAAAAACAATGTCCATAAGGATGCACAGGGGTTAAATAGGCAAATGCTTAAGAGTCTATGATTGCACCATTATTATCAGTTTCTAGCATGTTATATGTTTGGCAACAGTTCTTCTGAACCTTATTGATGGAGTGTGTAACTTTTCATTTCTTAAACAACCATGTAGGAAAACACATCATGGCCATATTCCAGGATTCAACAGGCTCAGATTGTGAAAGAATAGTTGCAAGGGTGCATATGTTTTTGGTCAAGATCTTGTATTGTCAATGCAAGAGTCCAGCACTCTGTAAAGTCTCAAAAAAAATAATTTAAGATCTCAGAGGTGCCAATTCTTGTGTGAAAATGATTCTTAATGCTCCCTCCCAACCATAATTGTAAATGTTAACAGTATGCTACAGTAAACATAAAATCTTTACAGTACAAATGTTTGTTTGCTTACATTTCCTTCCAATTCCCAAGCACACATGCATTCCTGAATACGTGTCTAAAAGCTCCCTAAATGCTACAGAATGAACATCTTAACTGCAATAGTGAAGGGATCAGAGTCTTTGGCTTGTGTTTGGAGATTTTGCTTCCACACTAAACCATGTTGGCTGTGTGTAGGCGAGCAGTCAGTCCCTGAAAACCAAGAAGCCCTTGAACCGTTCAAGCGGAGGCCTGAGGAAACCTGCTGAGGCCAAACGCCACAGGAAAACATCTGTAGCCGGAGACAACTCGGAGGAAGATTCAGGCAGCGCCAACAGCACTCCCAAAAAAGTGTCAAAGGACACAAAAAAGAGAAGGACAGAGGAGAATCCTTCCCCAAACGCAGCAAAGCAAGAGAGTCCAGCGTGTGTGAAGAAACCCAAAACAGTCCGAGATGACAGTAGAGACTTGGCCTTGTGCAGGTACTGTACCAGAGCCTGAAACCCTGCAGAAGTAGTTATATTTTGATGTGCATATGAATCAGATGTCATTGATTTGGTTATTAGGATCCTCTTGGCTGAGCTGGAAAGCCATCAGGACGCCGGGCCGTTTCTGACACCCGTCAACTCCAAATCCGTCCCGGGATACCGCAAGGTCATCAAGAAGCCCATGGACTTCTCCACTATCAGAGACAAGCTCATCAACGGCCAGTGGGTATCACTAGAATATTAACTAGTCATTTATATGTATTGAGGGAACATATTCAGATACACTCCGCATGGTATTTACACATGGTACTAAACGTTTCTGATGCTGAAATTACAATTAGTAGGGCTGGAAAGAAGAAAAAAAAATCTAAATCTTTCACAATGTTTTCAGACTTTTGGTGCTATATTTATTGACAAAAAAATATATAAAAATAAAATAAATATATGTGTATATATATATATATATATATATGTGTGTGTGTGTGTGTATATACACTCACCGGCCACTTTATTAGGTACACCTGTCCAACTGCTCGTTAACACTTAATTTCTAAGCAGCCAATCACATGGCGGCAACTCAGTGCATTTAGGCATGTAGACATGGTCAAGACAATCTCCTGCAGTTCAAACCGAGCATCAGTATGGGGAAGAAAGGTGATTTGAGTGACTTTGAACGTGGCATGATTGTTGGTGCCAGAAGGGCTGGTCTGAGTATTTCAGAAACTGCTAATCTACTGGGATTTTCACGCACAACCATCTCTAGGGTTTACAGAGAATGGTCCGAAAAAGAAAAAAACATCCAGTGAGCGGCAGTTCTGTGGGCGGAAATGCCTTGTTGATGCCAGAGGTCAGAGGAGAATGGCCAGACTGGTTCGAGCTGATAGAAGGGCAACAGTGACTCAAATAACCACCCGTTACAACCAAGGTGGGCAGAAGAGCATCTCTGAACGCACAGTACGTCGAACTTTGAGGCAGATGGGCTACAGCAGCAGAAGACCACACCGGGTGCCACTCCTTTTAGCTAAGAACAGGAAACTGAGGCTACAATTTGCACAAGCTCATCGAAATTGGACAATAGAAGATTGGAAAAACGTTGCCTGGTCTGATGAGTCTCGATTTCTGCTGCGACATTCGGATGGTAGGGTCAGAATTTGGCGTCTACAACATGAAAGCATGGATCCATCCTGCCTTGTATCAACGGTTCAGGCTGGTGGTGGTGGTGTCATGGTGTGGGGAATATTTTCTTAGCACTCTTTGGGCCCCTTGGTACCAATTGAGCATCGTTGCAACGCCACAGCCTACCTGAGTATTGTTGCTGACCATGTCCATCCCTTTATGACCACAATGTACCCAACTTCTGATGGCTACTTTCAGCAGGATAATGCGCCATGTCATAAAGCTGGAATCATCTCAGACTGGTTTCTTGAACATGACAATGAGTTCGCTGTACTCAAATGGCCTCCACAGTCACCAGATCTCAATCCAATAGAGCATCTTTGGGATGTGGTGGAACGGGAGATTCGCATCATGGATGTGCAGCCGACAAATCTGCGGCAACTGTGTGATGCCATCATGTCAATATGGACCAAACTCCCTGAGGAATGCTTCCAGCACCTTGTTGAATCTATGCCACGAAGAATTGAGGCAGTTCTGAAGGCAAAAGGGGGTCCAACCCGTTACTAGCATGGGGTACCTAATAAAGTGGCCGGTGAGTGTATATATATATATATATTTATATTTTTATATATTATATATATAATTATATTTTTTCAATGGAACCAACATTTTATATATATATATATATATATAATACTATATTTAAAAAAAAAAAAAAAATATATATATATATATATATATATATATAATTATTTTTTATTTTTATTTTTTCTAAGTTTTTTTTTTCCTGTTTTTTTTTTCAATGGAACCAACATTTTAGCCAAACAGTCATTATAGTCAAGTAGATTCAAAATATTTGGCAATAAGCATAATTATTATTAGTATTAGTTTTAGTTTGTTCTGTTCATTTTATTATTATTTTTTCTATGGAACCGTTATTTATAGTCAAGTAGATTCAAACTATTTGACAATAATATTAATAATAATATTTTAATATATTACTAATATCAGGGTTCGTACGTATTCCTCTTTTGGAAAGTCAAATAAATGCTATCACGAACCAAATGGGAACGCAAAAAAAAATTATAATTGTTGTAGTTTCCATTCACCAGTATAGAAACTCATCCAAACTATGCCAACGTCCGCTTCTTAGAACCCTAGAAATGTGAAGAAAATCCATATTTACCATCAACATGATTTGATTTCACATCCAATGTCTTTTCTTATCGCAGGTACTTGAACCTTGAGACTTTTATTATTGATGTGAACCTGGTGTTTGATAACTGTGAGAGGTTCAACGAGGATAACTCTGACATTGGACGAGCGGGACACACGATGAGAAGGTTTTTCCAGAGGAGATGGACCGAGCTGTTGAGGCAGAACTCCCTGAAACCGGGTCTCGACACATGAGGCCTGCTTCTGCGGCTCGTTTCAGAGTCACTGGGACCAGCATTAGACACCGAATCACCTCGTTCACATTGACCTTGGGTTTGTTGGAGGACACGCTTAAATCAAGTACAGGGACGACTGACAACTTTCAGCACCTCGAAAATATCCTTCACCTGTAAATATATTTGGGGATTTTTTTTTTTAAATAAACATTAATATTATAGTGAATGTACTGTATTTAATTATTTATGACTTAAAAAGGTCTTCACTTTCTAAGAAAAGGCAAAAAAGAAAGAAACTGCTTCAATGGATGTGTTTTTCATTATCAAATATGGAAAAAGAAAACGCTAAAACAAGGAAAACATTAAATGTTTACATAAATCTGAGCTCGATCATGATTACATTATAAAACTGCATTCATGTACCGGTATGTTTTGAATCACAAAGTCCAAAACGCATATATAACGACTATTAATGTTTAATAATGGTTCTTAATATTGTATTCTGTGCGCACAAGACTCCAGGCATCCAGTGTTGTTTATGCCTTTTAAATAGTTGTATCTTTTCATATGTTTTAATACCGCAAATCCAGTGTATTGACACATCGGCCGGCCGGGGCACTTTCTGAAAACAGCAGTGCCTTTCAAAACCCACCGTTTTTGTCTTTTAAAACTCCTCAAACCTCAGTCTGAATTCCTCAAGTGTTCATCCAGTGCTTGTTATGGTTATCGTCATACCATACAATAAAACGGGTGAAAAATCCCACCTAAAACATATCAGAAATGGTCTTTTCGGCTAGGAATAGAAAGCAACCGCATAGCAACACCATTGCATTGTGGCAGCAATAAAAAAATGCTGCTGCAATAAAAAATAAAAAAACTAGTTTACATTATATTTATTCTGAGGTATTTCTCTCAGTATGCCTCGATCAGACACGATAGATAGCTGCAGTGTTTTTAATGTAACTAAAGTCAGAATACTTGAATTATCTTGTGTAAAGATATTGCAATGAAGGTGTAGCGTTGTGTTTTGTAGGAGTTTTATTTTTCTCTAGTTTGTGTTGAATACTTAATAAAAGGTTTTCAAGCAACCTAGTTGTGTGTTCATGGTGCATTTTAAGCATGATATGATCTTAAGATTAGTAACTGCATCACTCTACAGGTGAAACTCGAAAAAATTTGAATATCGTGCAAAAATAATTCAACTTAAAAGGCGAATCTAATATATTATATAGACTCATTACATGCAAAGTGAGATATTTCAAGCCTTTATTTGTTATAATTTTGATGATTATGGATTATAGTTTATGAAAACCCCAAGTTTAGGAGTGGAAACCGGAAACTATCACGAATCCCAGTAATGTGACTTTCCTGCAGTCGTACAGATAGTGTTGCGAGAGGAGCATTCAGGAGATCATCATTCTCTACATGTACGTTTGCTTATTAACTTATGTATAATCTAACTTATTGAGTTAAAAATGCTGTATTTACAGAAATTAATTTACTTAAATGTGTTTTTCAGGTTCTTAAACTGCACCTGCATGTAAACCTTCTGCCATCGGTGAGTCATTTTTATTAAAAAAAAAAAAAAAAAGAATTAATTACTATGTTGTACATTTTTCATGTAGAAAAAAACCCCAATTATTTAAATTTTACAATAATTTAAAAACATATATATATATATATATATATATATATATATATATATCAGATTAAATTATTATTATATGTTAATGTTTTTAATTTAACATTTTATGCAGTATGTTTAGACAATTATGGGGACATTACCAATGCATTCAAATTGATAGGATTAGTTAAAAAAAATGTATATAGATAGTATTTGCTGTTTAATGTGTGTAACCTGAAGCACGTGAAGTCAGTTTCTGCCCTCAGATGAGCATCGTAAAACACAACCCATATGAACTCTGTCCCTCCTGTAGATTAGTAGTATTACGACTCCCTCTGCTGGGGAGAAATGGGGTTTTCCTGGTGTGATGTGGGAAAGTCTCACACATCCTGACATTTGTCTTCTGGAACAAACTATTTTCCATGAAGCCACCCCTAGACACGTGTGTGTGTGTGTGTGTGTGTGTGTGTGTGTGTGTGTGTGTGTGTGTGTGTGTGTGTGTGTGTGTGTGTGTGTGTGTGTGTGTGTTTTCAGATGGCCAGACAATCAAGTTTGGATTGGCCTCTGGTGGGCAGGGTGACCAACTGAGAATATGGATTATTTCCCAGCTGCGACTCACGTCAGAGACGCACACAGAAGAAAATCAATAGTCATGTTTTCTCGTCGCTTGATAAACTTATGGTTGAGCCACTGTAGTCACTTGGACTATTTTAAACATTGTTTTTACTAACTTTCTGGGCCGGTAAGTTTCAATAACACACAGTAGAAGCCTATGGAGGAGTGATCCAGCTCTCAGATTTCATCAAAAAAAATTTTTATTTGTGTTCTGAAGATGGACAAAAGTCTTACGGGGTTGGGTGAACTAACGCTTTAAGGGCGCAAATATAAGGTGTGATGCAGACGGATGTTAAAAGCAAGACACATACCAGACCAGAGAGTAATATTCAGAGAAAAAAGAGAGTGGATGCTTGACGAATGTCGTAATGAATGTGTGTATAATGAAATACATGGTTACCAAACTATTGAAACTGACTGAATATGGCACAGTCCCAATAGAAATATTTAAAAATATTGATAAATAAATACAAATATGTTAATCAAATTTGAGTAGTCTAAATAAATACGATTTAAAAAAAATAACGAAATTATTACGTGAATAAAAATTGATTAAAATCAGTAAATACATAAATTGAGATGATCATTGAGATAAATGTAAATACTAACATAAAACAAATTATATATACATTTCATGGACTTTTCAAATACAATGGATAAATCAATAGGATTAACTAGCAGTTTTATAAAAATAACAACAGATATTTGCTGTTTTCTGAAGCTCAAACTCTTGTATAAAGTTTGAGCATATAATGAGATGTTTTCAATCTGTGATGTTAATAGTTGCAGCGTTTATATAAGATATATTTTATACAACATATATTTGTTTGTCTGAAATTTGTTGTGTCGTGTTAATGTTCCGACTGCAAATAATTTAATGTGTGGCAGTCGAATATGCCAAAGATCTTGCCTAAAATATCAGATTTGAGAAGGAAATTGAAAGTGTGGTGTAAATCATTGTAATTGATTGTTTTGCCTCTAATAGTTTTAATGAACAGCCACTAGTTAAATGAAGACTCTTTAATCTGTAATCCTCCGCACAGGCGCCGGTGTCGGCTTCGTCTGTCTGTCACCGTGGCAACCGTCTCGGCTGACTGTGCCACTGCCTGCTGGGACGCTTCATACACACTTTTGTTTTACACACACATGCAGATAAGCAGCAGTCAATCACAGGGGTTGCTGGGATATTACGTCTCGTCGTCTTGCAGGAAATTGGCGTATATGTTTATATTCTGACTGGCGTTATCAGTGACTCCAGCTCGCTTGTGTTTTACACTTCTTTATATTGCCTGTCTGGGAGATTGATTTCATTTAGTTCATCTGAAGTGAATTCTGAACTTAAGTAATTGGTTTAGCCAAGCGTCGTGTTGCTGCGTCCATCTGGGGTCTCAGTGTGTTATAGTTAACTAAAACTAATAGAAAAAAAAAAAAATGATTCAAAATATTAATACAAACTGTAACTGTATCTCAATTATGCTCAAATATCAATGTAGACGACAGTCTTCATTGCTTAGACAAACATAGCAGGACTTGCCCCAAAACCTAATGAGTGCCCTACATAGGTGGCATCCTAACTCAGAGAAAAGGACTTCTTTCCATACAAATATTATAAAAACTTAAAAAACAGTTACATCATCATCTGGTTTCACAGACGAGGCTTAAGTCCCAGACTAAATGCATGTTTGAGCTGATTTAACTGAAAGCAACTTGCACTGAGAAATCTTCATCAGTACATCAGTGCCATTATTTTTTGTCTTGAGATGCACATCAATAATGTTTTTTTTTACTAAAGCATGTTTATAAAAGATACTTAAATGTCCTCAATGAAGGCCTACTGAGTGCCTAATCCTGGCTTAATCTAAACCTTGTCTGTGGAACCAGGCCTAGGTGGAAATATATATATATATTTTTAATCAAAATAATTTTATTGACTATTTACATTTATTGTGGTATAGCATAAGAACAAAAAATCCAAGGTTATCAATATGAAACATTAAAAATAATAAATAAATAATCAATTAAAATTAATAAAACAATAATACAATATTTTTAAAAAGCAAACTATTGTCTGTCTGTCTCTCTGCCTCTCAATTCAATTCAAATTGCTTTATTGGCATGACTGTAATCTCTGCATCAATCTCAGGCATCTCTGCCTGTCTGTCTGTCTGTCTCTCCGTCTGTCTGTCTCTCTGCCTGCCTGACTGTCTGACTGTCTCTTTGTCTGTCTGTCTGTCTGTCTCTCTGTCTGTCTGTGTCTCTGCCTGTCTGTCTCTCTGCCTGTCTCTCTGTCTGTCTGTCTGTCTCTCTGTCTGTCTGTGTCTCTGCCTGTCTGTCTCTCTGCCTGTCTCTCTGCCTGTCTGTCTCTCTGTCTGTCTGTGTCTCTGTCTGTCTCTCTGCCTGCCTCTCTGTCTCTCTGCCTGCCTGTCTGTCTGACTGTCTCTCTGTCTTACTGTCTCTCTGTCTGCCTGTCTCTCTGTTTGTCTGCCCGTCTGTCTCTCTGTCTGCCTGACTGTCTGTCTCTCTGCCTGTCTGCCTGTCTCTCTCTGTCTGCCTGTCTCTCTGCCCGTCTGTCTGCTTATCTCTGTCTGTCTCTCTGTCTGTCTGCCCGTCTGTCTCTCTGTCTGCCTGACTGTCTGTCTCTCTGCCTGCCTGTCTGTCTGTCTGTCTCTCTCTGTCTGCCTGTCTCTCTGCCTGTCTGTCTGTCTGTCTGTCTGTCTGTCTGCCCATCTGTCTGCCTATCTCTGTCTGTCTGCCCGTCTGTCTCTCTGTCTGCCTGACTGTCTGTCTCTCTGCCTGCCTGTCTGTCTGTCTGTCTCTCTCTGTCTGCCTGTCTCTCTGCCTGTCTGTCTGTCTGTCTGTCTGTCTGTCTGCCCATCTGTCTGCCTATCTCTGTCTGTCTGCCCGTCTGTCTCTCTGTCTGCCTGTCTGTCTGTCTCTCTGTCTGTCTGCCCGTCTGTCTCTCTGTCTGCCTGTCTGTCTGTCTCTCTCTGCCTGCCTGTCTGTCTGTCTGTCTCTCTCTGTCTGTCTGTCTGTCTGTCTGTCTGCCCATCTGTCTGCCTATCTCTGTCTGTCTGCCCGTCTGTCTCTCTGTCTGCCTGTCTGTCTGTCTCTCTGTCTGTCTGCCCGTCTGTCTCTCTGTCTGCCTGTCTGTCTGTCTCTCTCTGCCTGCCTGTCTGTCTGTCTGTCTCTCTGCCTGTCTGTCTGTCTGTCTGTCTGTCTGCCCATCTGTCTGCCTATCTCTGTCTGTCTGCCCGTCTGTCTCTCTGTCTGCCTGTCTGTCTGTCTCTCTCTGTCTGCCTGTCTCTCTGCCTGTCTGTCTGCCCGTCTGTCTGCCTATCTCTCTGTCTGTATGTCTGTCTGTCCCTCTCCTAGTATTATCTTTATCTGCTCTACTTCAGTCATGGTTGTAAAGTTGTGTATTAAGTAATTAAGTTTTTTGAAGTAGAGGTCTCTGATCGAGCTGTATTTGTGGCAGTGGAGGAGGAAGTGTGTCTCTGTCTCGATCTCTCCTGTGCTACACCGAACACACACCCTTTGCTCTCGGGGTAGCCAGCTCTTTCAGTGTCGGCCGGTCTCGATGGCTAGACTGTGTTCACTCAGCCTGTACTTGCTCAGGATATGTCTCTGCTTTGTGTCTCTCACACTCTGAGATATTCCTCCATTTCATAATTTGATTTCAGATTTCGATAGAATTGTAGTTTGTGTTTTGGTTTCCTGATCCCAATGTTCCAGATATGTATTTTTAGAGTGTTTGGTAATTTGGTTTATTCTGATGTGTGTGTGTGAGGAGCAGTGCCCGATTTGCAAATCGTTGAGTCGCCGACAAGTCAGGGTGTTATCGCGTGCATATCG